ATACGTGTCTATGGTATGGTGTACATATTTTAAATTACCAAATTCCATAAAGTGGAACACATCCATCTGCCAGATTTAATTTCTCTTAGTACCCTTTGGGTTACTCCCTGTAGGCAACGGTGTTTGATTATAGAAAGAACAAGTAGGACATCTCTTTATAATGTCCTTAGCTTGTTGCCAAGTAATGGAAAATTCTTTCTTTAGGCCTTTACTATTGACATGATGCTTCTTATGAAATTCTGAGGCCTGCAACACACTTCCAATCAATAATTGATCAATCTCAGCGTTGCCTTGGGCTAGAGGACCAGGCACACCTGTATGGGACCGGATATGTGTTATGTACATCGGACAAATCCTGTTCCTGATTATGTCTTGTACCTGGATAAACAATGAAGTCAACTCTGTGTCATCTGGTATAAATTCAGCGGTTTCAATATGCAAGATAACTCTTTCTGCATATTGTGAATCTGTAACTATATTAAGAGGTTCTTTAAAATCCCTTAGCACCATAAGAATGGCATATAATTCTGCCTTCTGGACAGAATTATAAGGGCTTTGTTCCACCTTACTCAATTCATCTGACTTGTAACCTGCTTTCCCTGATTTATTTGCATCAGTATAGAACGTATCCCCTCCAGTTATTGGAGCATCACGTACAATTCTAGGAAGAATACAAGAAGTTCTTTTTATGAGGTTAAGTCTACCACTTTTGGGATAGTTGCTATTAATTTCTCCCAAAAAATTAGCACAAGCTCTTTGCCACGGTTTATTGTCTTCCCATAACTTTTTTATTTCTTCAGTAGTAAAAGGCACTATAATTTCTGCTGGGTCTATACCTACTAGTTGACGAAGTCTCAGCTTACCTTTTATAATTAATTCAGAGACTTTTTCCACATAAGTTTTTAATTTTTTACTTGGTTTATTAGGTATAAATATCCACTCTAAAATAATATCTTCCCTCTGCATTAGAATCCCTGTAGGAGAAATTCTGGAAGGCAATATGACTAGGATGCAGCTAAGATTTGGGTTCACCCTATCCACATGTGCCTCCTGTAATTTTTCCTCAATCATTGTCAGTTCCTTTTCTGCTTCAGCTGTCAGTTTTCTTGGACTGAATAGTCCAAGAAAGATTTGAATAAATCTTTATCACCATCTAAGGTTTTGTTTAAATGAACTATTAGATCAGGTGTTATCCCAACAGCTGGTCATAGACTGGAAATGTCTCCTAACAATCTTTGGAAGTCATTAAGAGTCTTTAACCGGTCTCTCCCAATTTGTGCCTTTTGCGTTTTAATTTTCTCTAACCCTATTCTGTAACCTAGGTAATTAATAGAATTTCCTCTTTGAATCTTTTCAGGGGCAATTTGTAATCCCCACCTAGGCAAGACTTTCTTTACTTCTTCAAACATCCTTTCTAAAGTATTTTTATTTAAATCAGATAACAAGATGTCATCCATGTAATGATAAATTATGGATTTGGGGAATTGCTTATGAATTATTTCCAATGGCTTACTTACAGTTAAGGGTATTAATTGGCTTGGAGATGCTCCCATTCTTCCTTCCTGGAAACACACACTCTGCCAATCTCCTCATACTGCCAAGCATTAGCTTAAATGTCATATCCCAAGTTGCCAATGTGAATGGATCTCTGTTCATTTCTGTGTAGTTCTTGATGTGGTTTGTATTAATCCTGGATGGATTTATGTCTGTGTTTAGAGGATTGGTTTGGGTGACTGACCCTGTGGCAAGTTCTGTAGTCTAGGGCTTTTAAGTTATGCAGTAAAATAGGTTATGGTATTGATAAACATGTGGATGTCTATTTAAGGATTTGGATTCTTGACACTTGATACAAAGGTGAGATTATATTATTTTGAAAAGAAAATAAAGGCACATAAGTCTCTGAGTTTAGTGCTCACACCCAAATCAAACAGAAAAGAAAGTAAGAAGGAAAGAAGGAAAGAAAGAGAAAGAAAGAGAGAGAGAAGAAGAGAAAGAAAGAAAGAAAGAAAGAAAGAAAGAGAAAGGCACAGATAACATTCTGCTTAAAATTCAGACTTAATATCTGATTGTTTCTATGATGAGTTCTATTTTAAATTCTTTACTGATTTCCTTGTTCACTTGCAGTTCAATTTTAGCAAAGATTGGAAAGAATGGTACCTTGTTTTCTGTAATAGTTAAAGTCCACTCCTCAAATTTTTTATTTTTTCCTAACATCGCTTTTCATGGCTATGCTGAAGGTATGTTTTTCTCTCCTTGATGGCTCTAGGGGAATCTGAGCATAGTTGATGTCATGAGGGAGCCAAGCACCTGAGACCTGAAAACTGACGTGTTTAGAAGTCTCTCTTCCTAGTGGCATTGCTCCGTCTGGAGGCACTTAGATAATTAGTTTAAATTCTGCCCTCATAGCTTACCAATCACAGTGGAAACTTCCTAAAGTCTTGCTATAGTCAAGATTCCTTAGAAAACAGCCAGAAGTTTGATTTTACATAATAAATCGTTCTATATATTTATTAGAAAGTGATGGAAATCTGAGCCACTATGTGTGACACTCATAATGTAAATAAAGTAACTTCATTACTTCTTTCTAGAACTTCATTTATTTGTAAAACAGTGGCGGTGGGAGGAAGGAGTAACATTTTACCTTAAAATCAACGCTTATCTCCCCCCTCCAGTGGTCTCATAACTGGCAGGTACCTGCTTTGTTCCATGCTTGAGCGAGCAGTGACAGTCACAGCACTGCAGGGACCTCTCGGGAGCTGTGAGTGTGAACAGGGAACTAGACGTCAGCTTGTGAACTGGGGATTGAAAATGGAACAGAATGTTGAGCATGTCTGTTCAGTTAGTGAGGCAGACAGTTGGAAGGTGAAAGATTTGACCCCCACACGCCACTGGATCTTCTTCATTCATGGATGTGCAAATCATGGAGAAGCTGTGAGGCAAGACCCAGCTGTACTTCAGCGTTTGCTCCATGTACTTTTATACAATGCAGTTATTTCGTGTTCATTGGTTAACGGTGGAAACGCTTTTCTTTCACGCACATCTTTTGAAATCAGATCACACAGACAACCAAGGTTTAGAACGCAAACAACTTTACAGCACATTGTGCTGTGGTGGTTATTATTATTAGTCATCAGCTCGACAGAGTCTAGAAACACCTGGGAGATGGGTCTCTGGGAATCCTGTGGGGATTTTCTTCGTTATGTTAACTGATATTGGGGAGACCCATCAAAATTGTGGGTGGGATCAATCTACGAGCAGAGGGTCTTGCACTGTATAAAATGGAGAAAGTGGGCTAAGGGGCAAGCACGCATTTATCCCTGGCTCTCTGCTGCTGTCCCATGGATGATACATGAGCAGCTGTCTCTAGCGGCTGCCTCTGTGGCCTTTTTGCAGTGATGGACTGCAACTTGGAACTGTGAGCTGGAAGAAATCCTTTCTTCCCCAAGTTGCCTTGGTTGTTGGTGTATTTCATCACAGTAATGAAAGAAACTCAGACAGGCTCTCTGGGGCAAAAGGCAGAGGACCTACTTTCTCACTTACATAACAGGTTGGTTGAGTTAGTGAACAGGGATAATTGATAGGAAACTTGGTGCCCATCAGCTGGTTAGCATTGTACAGCCACTGCCCAAGAGCAGTCCCTGGAAAGTGGCCGAGCAGAAGAAAGAGGGGCTCGGAAAGGGAAGTGCAAAGGTGAACGTGGCCGAGTAAGAAGGATCCTTGAGTGAATACCAGTTCAAATCGTCTAGGAAATTTAAAGTTTTTCTATTTGTACTGCTGCCTATGATTTCAAGATAAAAAAAAAGCTAATTTAAAATTATTTTTTTTTCATTTGGAAATGCTTACCAATTATTTAAAATAAATGTATCAGGCAGCATGAATATCAGAAAATGATTTTTAAATAGAACACGCAGACGGTACTTTTTCAGTGCTGTATTCCCGTCAAAGCTTTACCAGCTCGCTCTCATAGACACCTGGCGGGTATCCCTGAAGAAGACACCGCCCCAAACAGGGCCACAAAAAGAGTCATTTTCCAATTCTGTTTAATAAGTACTACTGAAGGACAGAGCTTGAGGATAAATGTGCTTTATGAGCATATTACAAGAAAACAAAAAGTACATTATTTTAGAAACATCATAAATTTATAGAAATACAGTTTGGTTTTGCTTTTGAAATATGTGCATGATCTTTCTGGCAGCATTCATCAAGAGCATGCGAGATACGAGTAGCTAAGGTGTTCTCTATTCAGAGAGAGAATTGGTCCCCACATTCTTGTCTATAATATGCATCCATATTGTTATTTATCCATAAAAAGTACCTCTAAGTTGATAACCCTTCTCTGGTTGTCTAATGACTAAAGAAAGAAAATTTAGGCTGAATAGTGAACACCCTTTTCTGCTGGATAGGTTGAGGAGTTAAAGCAGAAGAAGACTTAGACTATCAGTAAGCAGATCTAGAACGTTATAGAAAATCTGCTTCCTAAAACTTAGGCTTTGAACAATTGAGATATGGATGTTGCAGAAAGTATAGTTTTAAAATGAATCTTTGAACAAATGAAATATGGTTACTAACTGTATTCTTTATTTGTAATAATTCTTTCTAGAAAATCTGTTCAATTTCTGGTTTCAATGACCCATTTTCTAAGTGTGGCAGACCTTAAGAAATGTGTGCTCTCACTTCTAACTGATCCTGGGTTCCAGGGGTACGGAAATGGGAGTCAACATGTGAAACATTCCTATTTTAAATGCATAATTCTCACGAGCAGAGTATTCGATGCCAGTTCATGCCTAATAGCATTCATGACCAATATTCAAGTAGCACATTAAATTTTCCTAAATGCCCCATTAAGCTTTATGGAGGAGGAATGAATATCAGGAATTTAAATTTTGTAACTATTCATTTGAAAGGTAGTTTTTATTTGATCTCTTAAACAAAAACCCAAAGTGTTATTTTCCCTCCGAAATATGTGACTTAATTCAGTCTGTCCTTTTCCTTTACGGCAGGTTAAATATAAAGAGAAAATTGATCACGCACTGAGGGAGCAGAGCCATTGCTACAACCCGCTGGACAGTGCTGCTTTCAGGCAGCAGCAGCTCGCCACTGCCCTGGCAAGTGAAGTAAGTGGTAATCTACAGAAATTGCTCTCAATATCTTCTGAGTCTTGTTTTCCTAGAACTAACTGTGTTGTAATTACTGATATTTAATCAAGATCATGTAATTTCTGAGTAATTTGTAGTTGAAAACACTGAAACATATTTTTCCTGAAGCTTTTCCCCCCAGAAAAGTATATTATTATAATTTGCTATTAATGGTTACTGATTACTAATTAGTTAATAAGTAGGAACAGTGGTATGAATAAAATTATTATGTCTGATCTAGAGTAGAAATAGATTATAGAGTTTTGCAGGAAAGAGATGTGTGTTATCACAAATTACTAGGTAGGACAACAATTAACTCATAATTATAGCCACAAAATGGGGTTTATTATAAAGCACTACCTGTTATGTGGGGGTTTGTCAGGAAGAGTTTGTCATTAATTGTGCTACTAAAGGTTTACAATTTCGTTCAGTTTTGTTAAGTGCTGTCTTTGTAGATTCATTTTCATGTTTTTAAAAGTAAGAAGAATTCATTTGATAGGAAATGATATTTCAAATTCTTACTAGAAGGAGACATTGTATAAAAGCAAAAACAATGAAAGACAGATCACCTTGCTATCCTTTAAATGTGCACAGACCCTTCCCACTCAGGAAAACTGAGAGGTTGCTCCCTGAGGCATCAGCTCGGCTCACCACTTCTCCTTGGGTCTGGCTCGTTTTTCATTTTCCTTAATGTTTAGAAAGTATTTATGGTCAATAACCAGTCTTGGTTTGTCTCTGCACGCTCAAGTGGGTGTTTTTGTCTTTCTGAACCTCCAGGGATGTCAGAATCATTCCTTTCCTGACTGATAAGATCTGAATGTATGCAGAGATGTTAAGCGAGTAGACAAGTTCATCTCAAAGGAAACTAGAACAGAGCCTCGAATGCTCAAGGCTGAGGGTCAGGTTGCCTGAATGTGATCCTATCCAGTCATGTAGAATCTTGTTATGCCTTCAGTCTGTCTGTGCCTCAGTTTCCCCATCTGTCAAATAGGAATAAAACATTCAACAATTAGGGTGGTTGTAAAGATTGTTTCACACATACAAAGTGTTTTTAAAAGTGTTGTGCATACAGCTCATGTTTAATACGCTTGATATGGATATTTGATTCTTATTACCATATTAAATTTAAACAAAATAGATTTACATAGCTACAGAATACAAAGCTGCAGAATCTTAAAATTACAGTAAAGTAAAACTGAAGTAATTCTGTAGCTGTGTGGAAAGAATACAGCTATGATTCTCCTTATTTTCTAAAAGTAGAGTTTCTACTATAATTACCTAAGTGTGTTAACACCGCCGTTTTGGAATATATAAACAGTACAAAAAAATTTAAATGTTTTCAAGTCCTTACATAGCCATTTTACTCATTCTGTAGTGAATCAGCACCATCTAGTGGCTACTTGTAAATCCTTCTGCACTAGCAGGACCCTGAGTGTAAGGAGGGGGAAAAAGGCAATGAGGCTAACACAAACCAGTTTCCTTCTGCTAGATGGCATTTTGTTCCATGTTATTTTTGTAGGTGAAGTACAAGAAAGACGTTAAAACTATGCACGAGCCCGTTTCAGATCTCCCAAATTTGTTGTTTTTAGACCATGCTCTGAAAGCCAGCAAAATGCTCAGTGGAGTAAGTGAGCTGTCTGGTGGCCATTGTAGAGTAGATGTGTGTAGTTCTGAGATGCCAGTGTTCCTCTTGCTCCCGGGCTTACCTGCTTCATTAGATGCATTCTGTGTTGCTCCTCCCCAGCTGCTAACTCACTGAAAAGTAGCCACCTGCTTGTACAAGTCCCACAGTCATGGCCCCTTTTAAAGAGTTCTTTTTCTTAGCTTACTCTTCACCCATTGACAGTTTCGTCCATGTATGGAATACATTTAGTCTTTTCACCCTGAATTACCCTATCTTGTCCCCCTTCCGTCTCCTGCTCAGCCCCTTCTTCTTGCCGACATGTACCCCTCCTTTCACGTCTCTGTGTGTGTTTGGCTCACTGAGCTTAACGAGGGCTGCCTGGAAGAGCAGGGGTGGATGTTATTTGCTGGAGCATGGACAGTGGACATGGCTAGTCCACTGAAGAAAGTGATGCCCAAAGTGGGCTCTTGCTAGCTCCTCAAATGCCATGAGTACAAACATACTTGTTGATAAGTGAGCATCCACTCTGTCTTCCTTCTTCCTATTTCTTTATCTCTATCAAAATAAAGCCACTTGATGTTCATGTTTTGCAATCAGGGATCTTCTGTTATGAAATCCATACCAGTATATCATAAATGTAATGTCTTCATGGCTTAAGCTATATTTTCTCTGACAAGAAATCATGAAGGTGCTTATATTACATGGCCACTAGGAGTGTAATCCTGAGATGGATTCCATGTTATCTGCAAGTCAGCAATGAGGGTTTTATGTTCTGATGAAAACATTTGTGTTTACTATTTACATGGTAAGTTCCTTAGAATTCTAGCTTCTGGGACACTGTGTCCACCCTTGGTGCATCTGGATGCTGCCTTTACTAGTTCCTGTAAATGATGACCCTTGGTCCCCAGTAGCTCCACTCTGTATGCATCCAGTTCCTGAATGCTAATGACCCCATTATTTCTACACCTCTTTGAACAATAATCACCCATTCACTTAAAAGCATCCTACCTTACAGAATAACCCAGATCAGACGAAGAAATACATGTAGGGTAGGGTGTGAGGAAAAGTGAAGGTAGTCTTTTAAATAGCTGAGCCCACGGTCTTCAGGGTAAAGCCCCAAGACTGGATCTCTAAGCCTCAGTCATAGAGGAGCTCCATTTGTTAGCGCTGGCAGACACCATTTGCTATTCGTATGTCTACTCTCTTACACGTTGTCTCCACCAGCCTTCGCGAGGTGTCCACTGCATGCAAGTGCTTCACATGAGCAGAGATTAGGTTTTAATTTACTTAAAAAGTGCTGGTCTTTGGGTCAAAAGCAGTGTATTACTGCTTCTGGTGTTGGAGCCATGTTGACAGGCTCAGAATTCACCCTTGGTATCCGGACGCTTACATTACAGTGTCCTGCCTTGTCCATTTCCACCCCTCCACCAACACACATACCCTAGCCACACCAACACACACACCCAAGCCACACCGACACACACAGCCAAGCCACACCAACACACACAGCCAAGCCACACCAACACACACAGCCAAGCCACACCAAAAGACACACCCTAGCCACACTGACACACACACCCTAGCCACACTGACACACACACACCCAAGCCACACCTACAAACATACCCTAGCCACACTGATACACACACCCTAGCCACACCTACACACATACCCTAACCACCACACCAACACACACACCCTAGCCACCTGGACACACATACCCAAGCCACACCTACACACATACCCTAGCCACACTGACACACACACACCCAAGCCACACCTACACACATACCCTAGCCACACCTACACACATACCCTAACCACACCTACACACACCCTAGCCACACTGACACACACCCTAGCCACACCTACACACATACCCTAACCACCACACCAACACACATACCCTAGCCACCTGGACACACACACCCTAGCCACACCTACACACACACCCTAGCCACACCTACACACATACCCTAGCCACACCTACACACACACCCTAGCCACACTGACACACACACCCTAGCCACACCTACACACACACCCTAGCCACACTGACACACACACCCTAGCCACACCTACACACATACCCTAACCACCACACCAACACACATACCCTAGCCACCTGGACACACATACCCTAGCCACACTGACACATCTGTGCTGGTTCCGTGCTCTTCTCCATGATTCATGTATTCATTTTCTTGTCCTCTGCACCCTCTGCTTTCTTCAGTCTCCAGTGTCCAGCTTTTGTCTTCCTGGCAGTGTTGGCCTCATACTGTACCAAACCCAGAGTCAGGCACACTCTTCCAGGGACCTGGGGATTCATTTGTAAATGAGGAAGGATGGAATCTTCTCACAGGCAAGATTTCTTTTCAAAATGCCAATGTTTGATTTACAATGGAGAAAAAGAATCAGACTTTAATACACACCGTTTCTGTTATCTCCCAGCCCCCAACCAAGTCACGTTGCTCATTTTATTCACAGTTCCCAGAGCTTAGCTCCCTGGTCTATCTTAGTCTATATCACAGAAATGATTGCATGGGCCAGAGAGTTTGACTTTCTGCAAATGATTTACATATTAAAATTGTATGAGACTATATTGTTTTAAATTGGTTGTAAGTTAGAATAGTCTTTTAAATATTGTATAAAGAGAATAGAAATTTTCTGGACATAGAAGGTGACTGGATTCTATTAAAATATTGAAGAAGAAATTTTATATTAGATATTTTGCCAAAGTTCAGTGCTAGCTATTTTCATCAGCATCTCTAAATGCCCTGGTCTATATCAGAATTTTTAAATTTTAATGTGTCGTCTGTAGAGCAGAATAAGCAATTTAAAAACCTGTTCAGATCATAAATTAAGTGTTTAGAGAAACACTTTGCTGTGGAAAATGGAGCTTTCAATTTCCTTTTTACATAAATTTAAAAATATATATTGTGTTATTCTATATAACTTCCGCTAGGAGGCAACAGAGACTATTCAATACAGGAAACAAGCCCTGCATTAGAAATTTCACTTGCAGATTAGAGTTCCAAGGATTTGGTTTTCCATTATTCCAAGTATAATTTCCTAGATTTCATTAGTTTTGGATTTTGATTCCATAATAGATTGTGTTCTGCCTTAATACATTGAAATTACATTTATTTTATAAGTAGATATTATAAAAGAATATCTAAACAAAGTGCAAAGCTTCTTAATATATCATTCAGGTTAGACTTTGCCATTTGCTTGAATTAGCTTTTATTTAGTTTTAACTTAAAATTCATAGAGGAATCCAAATTTAGTTGTTCTCTTCAGTCAAGATGTAATGTGTGGACATTGTCAAGACTTCCCTTTGGTGCTTTCCAAATGTATTTCATTCTGGTTAGAGCTCAGTGATACCTATCTTCGCTCCCTCAGTGCTGGAAGCCAGACTCCCTCTGGAACTTTGTCTCTGTGGGGCAGCAGCTCTATGGCGGGTCACAAGCATCTCCCTTCTCTCTGTTCCTGATGCTATGTGTTCTTCCCTTTGACACTTCTGTCCCCACAGCATCTCCTAAGGTTCTCTGGCCACTTCTCGTAAGCTGCCCTTCAAAAGCTGCATCTACTTCCCTTCATTCTACACAGAATAACATTTTTCCTGGAACCCATGACAACTGATTTTACCTTTGTAGGTCTCTGTAGCCTTGCATCTCTGAGACTACTGTTGGCTTGTAGAAGTCTTTTCCAAGTAGGACTAATTACTAAGCGTCTGGTCTCTAGTGCTAGAAGTCAAGAAGCAATCTCGTTTCCCTGTCGTAGGTCTAGAGTAAAATATCATTCCTACTCATTCTGGTCTATTCCAAATTTACCTTCTCATATATGTCTAAATAGTAGATGTCCAATTTCTTCAACTCAAAAAATAATCAATGAATTGTACTCACATCCTTCAGGTCCTCTTCTCGATGCTCCCATTCTTTCCTTGAAATTCTGAAATTAGTTCAATTATTACTCAGCTCCTCGTTCTCCTCATCGCCTCTATTCTTGCTCATGGCTAAGTCTTTTTCTGCATCCGTGCTTCTAGTTTCCAGCTTCCTTTCCTTTCTTTTTGTTTGTATCTCCTTATGGATGCAACTAAACACTCTATATGTCCTAGGATAAGAAGCAGTGTCTATATTTCACCCCACGTTGCCCGCTCATGAACCATGGGACCCCATCATTAGCTTTTCATTACCACTCCGTGATTCTCCTCATCATGTTTACAATTAATCCCTGGCTATTTCACGTGCTCTTTTCATGGCCTCCTACAGTGAGGCCATCTGGTATTGCCCATATATCTTAGCTCTAGAACTCCCTCCATGCTGGCTGCTGTAGACACAGGCTCTGTAATAGCACTGCCCCTCCTTCCCGCTGGCTTCTACGTTCTTTGCTTTACTAAAAATTGCTGTGAGACACCCTCACTCCATAGCCCAGGGTTTCCTGGAACTCACGGTAGTCCTCCTGCCTCAGCCTCCCAAGAGCTACCACAACCAAGTTATATTCCCAAGTCTTAATTTTACTCTCCAGTCTCTTTTATTCTGAACTAACTTTCATATTTGTTTTGCAGTGGGAATATAAAAAGGATTTTGAAGAGAACAAAGGGATGTATCACTTTGATGCCGAGGCCACGGAGCACCTGCATCATAAGGGCAATGCCACCCTCCAGAGTCAGGTGAGCCCCCGAGTGCTGCTACCCTCAGACCTACACTGCCATGGGGCTGCCTGCTGCTCAGTGCCATGCTCTTGGAAGGGTGGAGCCCAAGAACATTAATTTTGCTTCAGGAAAAAAATTTCTTAGACTTCTATCTTTTGGGTCAGGGAGCTGGAACCATGTTTCAACTTAAAGTGGCTTCATAAAAATATGTTCTTCATATAATTAAAAAGTTTTAATCTAGGAACTAATTAAACTGTGATCAAATCTCATGATGATTTAAAATTTTACAGTGTGCTGATTTGACATTTTTGAGCTACAAAATTGATTTTCTGGGTATAAGGTTTATTATAATTTCTCCATTTAATTATAAGTGTTATTGAAAAGGGAAAACATCCTTACTAATGTATTTTAAATTAATGTTTCTTCTAACTCTGAAACCCTATGTAGTCTGTTAAAAAAAACCTTAAAACTTTCTTTTTTCCTAGCACACTCTAAGTTCAGGATCTGTTTTTAAGTTATTATTATAAGTTTAAATAGTCGCTAAAGATGCCATTTCTAGCATCTGGTAAGACAAACATTTCCATTACTTTTAAATGTATTCTGTGGAACATAAATTCCACAAGGAAAGTAAGTTACTCTCCTTATGGGCTTCCCTTCCTCTCACTGTGATGAGGCAGTTCAAGAGAGTTCACAGGTTACAGCCCATCATTGTTGGGGCGCCAAGGTGGTGGGGATTTGGAGCAGCTGGTTACACAGCTACATCCACAGGAGTAAAACATGCATTCTTGTGCTCAGCTCACTTTCTCCTTTCTCACACAGCCTAGGACAAAATCACCTACTTTTAGGTTGTCTCTTCCCACATCAATGAACATAAATTAAACAATTCCTTGCAGGCAGGTCCACAGGCCAACCTGCCAACCTGACCTAGGGATTCTCTCATCGATATTCTAGAGTGTGTCCAGTTGATACTTCAACACCCCCTCCCCAAAGTTTGGAAGCAATGATGGCTTACATAGACTTTTAGCTTTTTTTTTTTGAAATAGATATGGCAGGTTGGGGATATAGCTCAGCATTAAGAGTGCTTGCTATACAAATATTAAGGATCTGAGCTCATCCCTAGATCACTAGAACCCAGGTCAAAAGCTGGAAGTAGTTACAACTACCTGCCCCTGTAGTTGTAACATTGTGGTGTGGGGGCAAAGAAGACAGAAGGATTTCTGGGGATTTCTAATTCCACATCCAGGTCTGTCTGTTTCAAGGAAGTAAGAGAGAGGATGATGGGGCACGACACCCTACATCCTCTTCTGGCCTCTGGGGCACAGTCACAGGTACACACACTTGCACACACAAACGTGTGCACACCACACACATACACCACAGACACAAACACATATGCGTGCATACACAAAGAAAATAGAAAAACAAAAACCTAAAGCTACAGAAAATTCCTTCCTTTTGTAAATAGAATGGAGATAAAACTAATTTTAATTAAAACAAATAATTCACAATATAATATTAAATAATGGATAGTGAAAAACAAGTAAACCACATGTGTTTTATTAATATCTATGGGAAAACTTGGAGTTCCCAGGATCATTTTTGAAAGAAAGATTATCATATCCATTTTTAAAACTTATTCATGATGTTTTGATAGACATGGAGACTATCACTGAGGTCTCTCTCCCCACTCCTCCTTCATTCTTCTCTGCTCTACATATGTATGGTGTGAGTACTGACATAAATAAACCCATGTATTTATTAAATACTTTTGTATTCTGCCTATCTGACAAAATATTTTATTTGTTCTCTATATAACACATTTAGAGTCCCATGACACTAAATACCTTCTAGTTGGGCTAAAATAATTTTTTTCTTAAGAATTTTTATATATAACCTCTTCCCTTCTCTTGTATGTCACTAACTGGAACTCCTCCATCACCCTAAACTGCCGGAATAACTTGATATCACAAAATAAGATGGTTAGTTTTGGGTGTATTTATTGTGCTTTGCTTTATACTTGGGCTTTTGGTTGTTGTTATCATTGTTATTATTGTTGTGATTTAAACCCAAGACCTTGCCCTTGCTAAGAATGTGCTCTGCCACTGAACTATGTATAGCCGTTATTTTTATATGCTTTTAATGTTTTTCTTTCATGCAGGTAAAATACAGAGAAGAATATGAGAAAAATAAAGGGAAGTCCATGCTTGAGTTTGTTGAGACACCATCTTATCAGGTTTCAAAGGAGGCTCAGAAGATGCAGAGTGAGGTAGGGGACTGGGCTTGTTGCCAAAAACTCAAGGGTACTTGAAATTTTCTCATTTGAAAAGAATTAGCTGGTGATGGGTGGAGTGTACAGACAAGAGCACTACTCTGTGGGGAAGGCTTGGAAACTGTGTTCTAGACCCCACATGCTCTTCAGGGAAGGCTATAGGACTCCTGGTCTAGACCCAGCCCAGCTCAGCATGGCAGGTTCAAGGATTCCTGCTCTAGACCCAGCTCAGCTCTGTAGAGGAGGTTCAAGGACCTCTGTTCTCGACTCAGCCCAGCTCTACATGGGAGGTTCAAGGACCTCTGTTCTCGACTCAGCCCAGCTCTGCAGGGGAGATTCAAAGACCCCTGTTGTAGACCCAACACAGCTCTGCAGGGAGGCCTAAGGATCCCATATTAGACTCAGTACAGCTCTGCAGGACAGGACCTGTGTTCTAGATATAGCCTCTCACTGCTAGAGGTCACTGAATTTGTCTGCTCCTTAGTTTACTGATCAACAACTATAGCTAAATCAGACAAACTCCTCTTTGCTCTCACAACCCGTGGAAAAGCACTTACAACTTTTTCAGATTGGTCATGACTATAAATCAACACTTTCAAACGGTATTGATGTAAAACTGAGTATCTAAAATGAATTGAAAAATGAAGAGTTGGTTGCTTTTCTTTCCCTCCCCCTACAATGGTAAAAGAACCAACAATTAAATAATTGAATCCTTATTTTGTGCCCTGCCGCCTTGCTAAGAGCCTCACCTACATCAGCTCATTTAGTCCTTAAGCAAATGGCTTGAGGAGAATGCAATCTAGGCGTTTGTAATGTGCTGAAGTAAACTATCTCAAATAATGTCACACATCAGGTAAATGTCACCAGTGTTTTAGTACCTGGTCACAATCTTGATACTTTCTTCCTCTGTCAATTTATTTAACTGACCCCCCTACCCAGGAAATACATGAATGTGTTTTGTTTACTTTGCTTCTAAGAGAGGATAACGCTGCTATAGGCAGATACTCTTTAGTGTTGTGTGAATTTATTCAGCAAATAGCTTTTGAAGTACTGGCTCATTAGGGCATGGGTACTTCAAAAGCCAAAAGAGTAAAACAACATACAACACCCCAGATTATATTTTCTCTGACCAGTTGATCCCTTCATTTTCTTTCCACATAGGGCACCAGGCACAGTTTTGTCTGCAGTCAGTATCTACCCTCTGTGGTTACCAATGGGATATTACTTTTGAGAGACAGAGGCAATGACAAGTACTGTCAGACAGTTGCAACTTAGTATTATGTTTTCGTTTGCCATCTGCTTTGAGACACTATAATCCATCCTTTTGGGAAAAAAGCCCTTTAGACAATAAGACTGGACACACTTGGTTTAATTTCTTCTTAAGTCAAAGAGGAGAGGGACATTATTTATTCTTTTTTGTCATATCTTCTTAAGTTTGTTATTGAATTTGATAAAGAACTGTCAGTACCTGTGGTGACTAAGTGAGCTGTCTCCTTTAGGTGACTTGGCAGAGCTGGTAAATTTGGTCCAATCTTAGAAGTCCACAAAAGCTCACCTTAAAGAGGACAGACTATACTGGAACCTCATTTCTCCATTTAGACAACTGTATAGGAAGCATTTCTGGACAGCCTTTCTGCTGTATGATTATCTGCCATTGCAGTGCTCCCTTTTACGTGAGGTAGAAATGGAATTTAATGGCTCTCCCATTTTGTGGGAAGTACATGGCCACTGTTACAGGTCTATAGCCCAGGGAGAGATTTTGACTTTCACGGTTCTCAGGAAGTTTAACAGTGTGTAAAACTCACAATTACCCCGTGGTCCCTGACATCATCCCCATTGCTCCTCCATGGACCCTCACAGACACCCCACGGCCCCCTGACAGCCTCTTCATACCTCCTAAGCCGGCCAGCTCCTGCCACTCTCTCCTGGCATCCTCAACCAGAGACAGGGACCCAGGCTGAAAATCCTTTATCATGCTGTTTCTTGGGATTATCTTAATTTTCTTGTATCCTGACTACTTAACTTTCCTCTCACCAATAGACCTACCTCATCATTTATGGTTAATATATTTCGAGGCCTCGTTTCTAAATTAGAAACAGTAGTAATTTGGAGAGTTGGGACTTTAGCACCTCATTCTCATGATAGCCTCTCTCCCTTTCTTCACCCTATTTGCTCTTTCCCTCCGAATAATGAGACAGGTTGTCCCTTTAATTATAGTCACCGATGATTAGATTCCCGTTTTTTAATTTCCCTTCCGATTTTTTTCAGTCTTGCCTGTTCTCAGCAAGGCTTGATGAGAGTCAAGGCTTCTTCCATTAGGGGAGTTCTTTGGGTCAGATTGATATTCTCAAGGCTAGAGAAATAAATGTCGGAAAATTTTAGATCAAGATGATGTATTAAAATACCCTTGGATATAGAAAGAATAAAAACAGACCTGAAGAGAACCCCTGTATAAGCAAAGACTGCACATTCATTTCCAGGCCACCCAGAATGGAATAATCACACAAAACTGTACTAATTACAACACTGTTTGGCCAATGACTCAGGTATATTTCTAGCTAGCTCTTACATCTTAAATTAACCTATTTCTATTAATCTAGTATCATCATAAGGCTGTGACCTACCATTACGGTTCCAGTATCTCTATTCTTTGGCAGCTACATGGCATCTGCCTGATTCCACCTTCGTTCTCCCTGAATTCATTTAGTTTTCCTGCCAAGCTCTAATCTGCCTTGCCATAGGCCAAAGAGGATTACTAATGGTAATAAAAACATATTCATAGCATACAGAGGGGAATCCCACATCATCCCATCTTAGAGTTGGCTTTTAAAACTAGCCTGGATTGTATTCCTTAAGGTACCTGATTGGAAAAGCCTGATTTCAATAAAAGTCATTCATGTTTTTGTTCTAACCTTTAACTGTGTTTGTCTTGTTTCATCTAGTGCCTAGATATGGGATTAATCTGTGTTTTCCAGAAGAAATCTCTAAATCTGTCCTTGGGAAGTTCTTTGTTTCTGTTTTCACAAATGTGTTTCCCTATAGAGTCTAACAGAGGTTTTTGATTCTTTCGGGCTTGAGCACTGGGCCCCTCCAATCTCAGCCATCCTTTCTCAATGACGTACTGCAGTGATTTTCCTCCAGAAAAGCGCTTTTTGAAGTGAAATAGCTAATATAAATCAATGCAGACACACACTTTGCTTTACTCTATAAAGAATGCTTTATAAAATATATTGGCCTAGAAATGTCAAATGTCAGCTTTTGGGTGTATAGTCAGTCATTCTATCCCAATTAGTTCTACATGAAAAAAAGAAAAATTTCTCATAATTGCTTTTTGTGTATTTATGATTCTTTAAGTCAAAATGATTTTTGTGAAGCTTCTTGATTGACTTACTGAACATCTATGTACTCCAGTTTTTCTCAAGTATTGTCATTATTGATTGAGTGACGACATGTAAGACAAATGCTAAATGAAAGGGCAATGTGTTTCTCTTCATTTCCCTTCTGCTTTGGCGAATACACTTATTTGTGCAAGCACTTTTCTTTGTAACAAATGCATAATGAACCTAGAAATAGCTTCTCATTTTGCATGAATAACAATCTTAGGCACAATTCATCTATTTTATCATCTTTATGATGTATTTTGAATAAAATATTTGGCAAAATTTGGCTCCTGTTTACTGAATATTTCAGATGAATAGATAATTCACCATTTGAAGAGATTATCTTTATAATCTTAAAACATGGGTTATTATTGTCGGAGAGGTTGGTTAGTGGTTAAGAGTGCTTGCTGCTCTTGTGGAAAACTCAGGTTCAGAATCTGACACCCATATGGCATCTTACAAACATCTAACTCCAGTTCCAGTGAATTCAGTGCTCTCTTCTGGCCTCCATGGTGTACACACACACACACACATATATATATGTACACACACACACACACACACACACACATATATCAACCAAAACATTCATACACATAAAATAAAAATATATGAATCTTAAAATATAAAACATGGTTGTCCTTGATTTTCAAGTGTGAAACTCAAATGTTGGAATTTGTAGTCATAATCAAAGATGTCAAAGCAGGCCTGAAAGGCAAGAATTGTTATAGAGTTAGCTCTTCTCCAACAGGAGCACCATAGGCATCTTCCATTCGTTTCTCATGTGAACTCCAGACCTCACACTTGATGAATCAGTGCTCAATCATGGACTCCCAGGATCAAGCCATGAAGCAACAATTCCACCCCTTCCTCATTCATTTGATTCCATTTTAAAATTGGTTCTCCCAGACTCACAAAAGACTGCCTTTGAGAAGGATTATGGGGTCTTGAACATTTATACTTCTGGAGAGTTTCAACTGGCTTCTACACCACCAGATTTTCTTCTAGTGGATTAGCCAGACTTCCTTTGAGTGAAGTCATCAGATGATCCAATCAGAGAGCTTGTCTTATTCTTCCTATAAATGGAGCAATATTAATCACAGATGCTCAGTACCTTCACTGTGCAGGAGAGGCTGCTTGGTGACTGCTCTTCATTGGTAGAATTGTCTTGCAGTAAGCCATGCGGCAGCAACTAAAGAAATAAAAATATGGGTTAATTTAAGTTGTAAGAGCTAGTTAGTAATAAGCCAAAGCCATCGGCCAGGCATTTATAATTAATATTAAGTCTCTGGGTGGTTATTTGGGAGCTGGCTGGTGGGACAGAATTGACCAGTGGTCCTGACAGAAAAACTCTGCCTACATTGTGTAATTGACAAAACTGGAATTTTTGTTCTGTTCTTTTTGACTGCTTAATTTTGTTGAATAGGGTTGTTTTTATTTATTTGCAAGCTTTTTGTAAAAAAGTTTATTAAAAAATAATAAAGATGGTAGAATTATATGAAAAACCACTAGTTTGGTTCTGAGACTGAATGCTTGTTCTCATGGTTTCCTTACACTTACTAGAGTTCCCTATATTGACTATGATGTGGTCTTATTTGACAGAAAGTTTACAAAGAAGATTTTGAAAAGGAGATTAAAGGGAGGTCCTCACTGGATTTAGACAAAACTCCTGCATTTCTACACGTGAAGTACATCACCAACCTGATGAGGGAGGTATGGCCTTGTGCGTTTATATTAGCTGTCACAAAGCAGGAAAAGAAACTCCAGAAGTATCTACTCAGCAGTTCTCTGCCAGCTGCATATCTGGGGTGTGAACGTCTTATCCTGGCCTTCACTGACAGAGCTTTGCATTTTCATAATGCAGGGAAGCATGAGTTAATATGTCTGTTTGCTGATGAAGGAAGAAATTCTCCATATGTTCTGTAAAAACTTGAAAAGTTTTCTGCTTTTGTGTTGTGATTCTAGCTCAGAAGCTTTGTGGGTAGGGAGTTTTATAGCTTCATAGCAGCAGGCTCTTACAAAATAAGATACCAAATGAAGGCTTGATTCTCTCTCACATACAACCATAGAGAATTATATATAATTTTATACTGTATAAGCCATAATATATATATTTTTTTTATTTAGGGAGAGGTGAATATATGCAGTACCCCACTACCACAGATTTTGCAGTTGAGTTTTCCATATTTGGGGAATCCTTGGGGATTAGCACATCTGGTGTGCAAACGCTAAGCCTTGTGCTGGAACTAACTTTTAAGACCAGGCTGGCCTTGAGCTCTCAGAGATCCACTGGCCTCTGCCTCCTGAGTGCTGGGTTTAAAAATATATACTACCATGCCTGGCTGAGAAAATCAAATTTTTGACAACTTGATTCTCATAAATTTAGTATCATTAAACATATTCTACAACCAGCTTTAATTTAAAAAATTGAATTCTAATTTGTAATTATCTGTTCGCGTGTGAATTTGTGTACCTAAACGCAGTGTTGCGGAGGCCAGAAGTGTTCAGGTTGCCTAGAACTGGAGGTGTGAGCCACCCAAACTGGGACTCTAGGTCAGATCCTCGAGGGCAGTACAGGCTCTGATCTGATGAGCCATCCCTTCAGCTTTTTGGGTAGTTTTCTGGTAGCAACACAACCCTTGATAGCAGAAATGAGGTACTCGGGAAAGTCTGTGATTTATTCAAAAATTCTTTCTCTTCTACATGGGGAAAATTACAGAGTTAGCATGTAGAGCAGAAGAATTTATTGCTGTGCTTTGCTTTGATCTTCACAGAACTTTTCTTGAAATCTTAATTAAAGTTTAGCTGAAAGTTGAGATATTAAATTTGTTGACTATTAAAATCCTTAACTTTAATAAATCAAGACATATGTGTATATCAACATTTTAAAAATTAATCCATTTCCTTCCAGTGGCTCAAAGCTAACTAAGAGCTCTTCTCATTTCACTGTGATATTCTCATTTGAATGATTTTATGCTAATGTAATCTAGAGTATAATGCATAAGTAGAATATAGAAAGAAAAGTGAAGTCCCATCTTATTCTAAATTTTTGAATCAAAGAAACGATCCCTCTGAAGGAAATGTCTTAAGGCAGTGGAGTGAATTGAAGCATGATTTCCATTCAGAGGCCTGTCATCATCAACTGTTAGTAAGTAAGTGACAGCTGGCCTTTGCCATTTAAGTGACATCAGAAATTACTGGGATTCCCTAGAGTAGCCATACAACGTCTATGGGATTCTCTTGTCCTGTGTGTTTGTTTGTTTTGTTTTTGTCACTTCTTATTCTTGAAATTTATTTTGAAACTGAGAACAAATACATGGGAGAGTCCTGCTACTGCTCTGCGTTTAAAACCGTCTTCTTTGCACATCAGAGTCGGATCTCACGATTGTTTGCATGCAGGTGACCAAGTGAGCTTAGTCTTTTCCTTTTATTCCTTTCTTCTTTCTTAATGAAGAAAATATGACCCTCATCCTTTCAAAGGAAGCATGCAGAACAATAATGCTATGAGTTGCCTATAATCAAAACAGAGCAAGATTCACTTAATAGCATTTGGACTTAGGATTTTGAATGTCTGAACTGGACAGGTAAAGAGGCGGCAAAACTATTCATTGGATTGGGCAGCTTGAGGCTATTAGAACAAAATATCATAGACTGAGTGGTTTCAAATCAGACAGTTCTTGTTCTAAAAACCAAACCCCAAATCAAGGTGCTGGTGAATTTGCCTCCAGATGGGAGCCCTGTTCTTGCTTGCCACTGGCTGCTTCCCTACTGTTACCACAGCAGAGGTAACAAGGGGTCTCTGTTTTAATTTTCTAAGGAGCCTTTAGTCTCATCATGGGCCCTACCCTGTAACCTCATCAAACCCAGTTAACTTCCAAAGGAGTAAAGGCTACAACACATGGGTTTTAGAAGACTCACAAGTACTTCATTCACAACGGCCAATCTTTTACTTAGTTACACAGAGATATCTAATGGAAAAAGCCATTTGGTTACTTAATACAATTATACATTTCTACGTATAAGTCCTTAATTGTAAATGGATTCTGTGCTCTATACTTTATGGTTTTATATTGCCATTTAGAGTCTCCAAAGTATCACTTTATAGTTTAAAATGTATGTTTTATGTAAGGCCTTTGCTGCTCCAATATTTTGCTTGATTTTTCTCCATTGCCCTTTGGTGTTAATAGAACATTTATTTTATTTCCTTTTATCAAGATGGAAATGGAGACTGAGTTACTCAAAGGCCTCCTAAAGGTCACACGACCAAATTAGTAGCAAGGCTGTGACTTTCATCAAGGTCATTTGACTAAGAGCTACTTCCACGATCACATGCAGGCTTGACAAAGTCCCCTAAAGCCATTGTTTGATCAGAAATCAGGCTAATTTAATGATTTATGAAGGGGGGCATGTGACATGACAGGAACTTTAGAATTAACTGGAATCTGACCTCTGATTATCAAAGGGAGTTATAATTTTTATTGAGCAAAATAGTCATAAAATCAAACCTTGTTTGATGGACTAAGATCTTGTTTTATAATGGAAGTAAATAAGAAAATAAGCAGTTTTTCAGTAGGGAATAATTTACAAAGAAGGGTCTGCAAAGCTGCCATCTCTACCTAAAATATAGTGTCAAGGGCTGGGATATAGCTCAGCTGGCGGGGTGCTTGCCCTCCCAGCACACACAAACCAGCTGTGACAGTGCATACCTAGAACCCCAGCACTCTGGAGGGAGGGGGAGAGAGATTAGAACTTCAAGGTAGTATTTTTCTCTGTAGAGATTTCTAGGCCGGCCTGAGCTTTATGAGACTCTATCTAAAAAATAAAAAAAAAATGTGATATTAAGACAGATCTTTTAAAAACAAATCTTTCAATAAAATACAAACTTAAAAATACCTCTGGCTACAGCAACCTCTGGCTTTGTAATTCTTTTCCATTCAGTTCTTTTAGAAATTCACATTAAATAGATATTTCCAAAATTACTTCAAACGATAGAAGCATATATATTCTTAAGATTTTCTCCAACACTTGAAGAGAAGATATCTTTTTAAAGAAGTTCAGTATGATGCCAAAGGATATTGGGAGAAAGGATGAAACACGGGCAAAAGTGGATGCCACTTTGAGTTTGATAGAGGAGAAAATTAAATGTCAATGGGAAAAGGCAGGAATGTTCAGCATCTAATTTTCTTCCTTCCTAGCAATATTTTCTCCTCTCTGTGGTCTCGAGAAGACACATACCCTGGCGTATGAGTTAAAGTAGCTGCTGACATATCTTCAAATGAAATATTCTATTCTTGTCTTACAGAAAGAATATAAAAAAGATTTGGAAAATGAAATAAAAGGGAAAGGAATGGAACTTAGTTCAGAAGTTTTTGATATTCAGAGAGCAAAGAGAGCGTCTGAAATGGTCAGCGAGGTGAGTGGCTTCTGTTAGCTGGTCAGAATGAGAGCGTTTTTTTTTTTTTTTAGCATCTTTCCTCACCGTTGTAGCTTTCTCAGAGGTCCCATAGGACACAACACGCATGTGTAGATGATAGTGAACAGCCATGTCATAGGCTTTTCCCAGGAAGCAGATCAAAGGTAACTTCTTCCTCACCATCTTTCTATATGCTGTGGGGCGGAAAGTGGTCAATTTAGAGAAATCTGCGTCATATGCAAGATACTCCTGTGAGATTTGGCTTGCTTTTGGAAGGGAAGTAAAAGGTTCCCCCGGAGGCGGGTGTGGTCTTCTGTCCTGGAAGCAGCTACAATTGAGCGGCTTGTGCTGTTTTTCTCTTTAAGCAACACACGTTTCTAGTCTTCAGCCGGTCGCTAAATAGTTAAAGCTCTGTATGGAGTGAAAGTAGTTGTTTCTCATGAAATATGAACTTTATAAGAGAAGTGAAGTGTCCGAGATGTAGTTTCCGTCTCCTAGTCCTTGTATTGTCATGGCTTTGCTATAACATCGTGGCTTTGATGAGACCCTTTCTGGTTAAAAAGCTTCACATGCACCCAGGAACCTTCCTCCAGGCACCCGGCACACACATGACCTCTGGCACCTGGTGAGAGACCTGGCTGTCTCTACTTTGGTCCCACCTCCACCCACTCTAACCTAAGAACCCTGCTATAGGGTACCTGACTGTATTGGCTGCCAACACCTGGTAAGAAACCCAGTCTCTTCTGCTTCAGGACTGTCCACTCTGGTTCAAATCTCCAATGAAAAGACACAGACGAGCCCAAAGAATTAGAAAATAGTGTCTACCTTTTTGTTGCCTACAAGAAATAAACCTCTCTTTCTTGACTAGAGTGAAAGATGAAAAAAAAAAATCCAAGCAAATGGGACCAGGAAACAAGGAGACCTAGCTGTTCTGAACTAACACAGATGACCTCAAACCCAAGCTAATCCGAGGAGACAAAGGTCACTTCATTCTGCTCCACCAAGAGGACATTATAATTCTACACACATGGTCCACCAATGTTGGCTGCTCCCAATTTCATAAAGCAAACACTGCTGGGCATTAAGTCACAGATTAACCCTGACACAGTTACAGTAGTGGCTTCAATATGTATTTTCCCCAATGGACAGAATATAATCAGAGAAACACTGGCTCTAAACGGCATCATAGGTCAAATGACCCTGATAGATATTCACAGAACATTCTTCCCACACATTCCAGAAGGCACAGCTTTTGGCAGCATGCTACAGAAGTTTCTCTAAAATGGATAATATAGTAATACACAAAAAACTCAACAAATTTAGGAATAGTGAAGTAGCTTCATGTATTCAATCTGACTGCAGTCAAGTAAAGTTTGGTTAGCAAATAACAAAAATAACAAAAAATAAATAACAAGAGAAACACCAGAGGATATGCAAACTGATGGAGATCAAGCGACTCAGTTGTCAAGTATTTGACCTTTTGAGGAAATTAAGGAAGAAACAGAAAATGTCTGGGAATTAAATAAAAATGAAAACTTAGCTTACTAAAATCTCTGGGATAAAATTAAAAAAGTTTTAAAAGGAAATGCGTTGCTCTGAGTGCTTACATTAACAATGAGATGAACTTCAAACAGATAATTTAATAATGCACTCAAAAGGTTTGGGGAAACAAGAACAAGCCAAACTGAAGCAGTAGATAGGAAAACTAATTGAAACCAGGGCAGAAATGAAAGAACTAGAGACAAATATGCCAACAGCACACTGTGAGGAAGCAATAACATGAAGGTTGGTTCTTGGAAAAGATAAATGAGATTGACAAAACTTAGTCAAATTAGCTAAAAAATAAAGAGAATATCCAAATTGATAAAATTAGAACTGACAGGGAGACATCGCAACAAACTGAACATAGGTACTCATGAATAATATTCACCATGACCAAGTTTGCTTTGTCTCAAAGATTCAGGGATAGATTAACATATGCAAATTAATAAATGTAATAAAACTTGTAAATTGACTTAAAGACGAAATATATGATCATCTTAGTAGATAGAGAAAATTCTTTTGACAAAGTATAACATCCTTTCATAATAAAAGTCCTAGACACAACAGGATTGGAGAGAACAAATCTCAACATAATAAAGGCTGCTATATCTGTCAAATCCATTGCACTTCTGCTAAATGGAGAAAACCTCAAAGCAACTTCATTAAAATCAGGAACAAGACAGAGATGGACATTATCTCCTCTCCAGTAAATGCAGTGCTAGAAGTGTGGCTAGAACAATAAAACAACAGCAGGAAATAAAAGTGATACATATAGGTAAAGAAGTCAAAGCATGCCTGTTTGCATTCCTCACAGAAATTGATCAAAACAGTTGAAATTCTTATGGAAACAGGGCAGAATGCTAGTAGCCTGAGCAATCTTCTTTAGCTGTGATAATATGTTCAGTCTACATTGAGGGGTCAGTCTTGTTATTGCCTGTCAATTATATCTGGAGAGTTTACTTTATACTTAAAACGGTAGGGTCCAGTTGACAATTGAGAATTGAGTGCTGATATGGTAGTGTGAATAACAACAAGCCATGATGCTTTAGAACAAGAAAAAAAAAATAAAGGACTGGACTGGCCATATAGAAACAGAGACTAGAGAAAGCCATCTTTCTATTCCTAAGTCCCACTAATGATGGGCTCTGTGTTTGCTGCCTCATTTTCCTCACTGTGGATCTCCCATGGAGCAAGCTCACCCCGTTTCACAGACAAGAAGAACCAGTAGGAATCATCTGTAATGTCACATAGCTTGGCTGTTGAATGCCCAAGTCTCATTATCAATCTTCTTCCTATAGTGTGAACCCATCTGTATCTCAGGCTCCAAGACAGCTCTTCATGAAAATTCTCATTCAACAATTGCCCCTTTAACAGTATAAAAACATCTCCAGTCAGAATAGTGGTTCTAATTATGTATACTCTCAAAATTACTTAGTTCTGGGGGATCATACATAGTAATAAACATTCCGTTCTCTTGGACTTTGGTTATTTACCTTTTTTCCCTTTATTCTTAAAGTGTGTATATATGTGTGTGTAACATTCTTGTATGTGTGTTTGCACATATATATGGTATGTGTCCAAAGGCTGAGTGCCTTTGTGGTTCTCTATACTGAAGGTTTCTGCTGAACCTAGAGCTTACTGATGTATCTAGTCTAGTCTATGTGGCTTCTGGGGGATCTAAACTCTAATCCTAATGCTTATATAGCAAGTGCTTTATCCACTGAGTCATCTCACAGCCCTCTCTTGGTCATTGAAAAAAATGTTTAGTATTTTTTTTAATCATTGACTACAAATATATGTTGTCCACAGTGTGGCTAAATTGTATTCAATGTTGCTTTTATAGAAAGAATACAAGAAGGACCTGGAGTCAGAAATTAAAGGGAAGGGAATGCAAATTGACAGTGATACCCTTGAAATACAACGTGCCAAAAAAGCTGCCAAGATAGCCAGTGAGGTGAGTGGAGGATCACGCAGACCTTGGAACTCCTATTGTACGCGGCAAGTCATATCAGCACCTGGATTTGTGCATGCAGTCTCTCAGAGCTTTGTGCACTGGTTTGACAGTTTGGAATGGACACCATTTCAAATAATGATGTTTATTTGAAAACTCAGAGTTTCCACTTCACTCACAGACTTTAAGAACATCAAAGAAAGCCTGGAAAGAGACATTTTAATAGAGTATACACAGAGATACATGCATGCATGGACACACACCCTGACACATGTCATTCCTGTGTTACAATACTTTTCGTGTTAGTCTAGGCTACGATAAATACTGTTGTAGTCCATTTTCTGTAGTTTAGCTTATATTTTGCTTGGCATATTTGTGTTTCCAGTGTTTTGATAAAATCATAGAAACCACATGTTGAGATTTTAATGTGAGTACAATCTTTGTTTCCATGTATTTAGAAGACATCCTTTGTCACTTTATATCTGCGCTTGAGATTTCTAAAGTCAGCTTTTGGGTTATGACATGATATATTTTGAATGACCATGCACATTCATTCCGTGCCACTCTCTCTTCATGCAATGCTTATGAAGATGTGGGCATAACGAACCTGTAGGGGTCAGACCATATGTACATTTTCTAGGGAGTTACCTGGGATTGTGTTCCATGCTTCCTGAATCTCCCCAGTAATTCTGAAAGTACGAGCAAGTCACTGGAGTTTGATAGTGTTTCGGATAAGGCAGTTTTTTTTTCTTGGTCTAGGAGATGTTTCTTTTTTTATTGATATTTATTGAGCTCTACATTTTTTTCTGCTCCCCTCCCTGCCTCTCCCCTCCCCCCTTCAATCCTCCCCCAAGGTCCTCATGCTCCCAATTCACTCAGGAGATCTTGTCTTTTTCTACTTTCTACTTCTCATGTAGATTAGATCTATGTAGGTCTCTCTTAGTGTCCACATTGTTGTCTAAGTTCTCTGGGATTGCTATTCTATCTTGATTACTCTTAACTCTTACACATGAGTATGCAGATACACATTCACACACATGTATGAATACAAGTGAAAAAGGCTGCGGCAGAATTCAAAGTTCAAGAGCTCTTAGAAGTGGGCTAAGGAGGAGTCTGTGTGGATGAAAATGTAGATAAAAATGAACCCTATTGGCGTGGAGAACGATCTGCTGGTGCAGCTACTGCTGGGGTTGAAACCTGAGAGTGAACCTGCAGAAACCCGAGGTGTGAAGGCAAAACAGGGTCCCGAGTGGAAATGGGTCAGGAGCAGGGAACAGATGGGGTTCAGGGAACAGATCTGGCCAGGCACAGGTCCAGATGGGGTGAACAGGGAGATGAGTACCTGTGTCAAACAGTGGGGGACTGGGCCAGGTCATGGAGTCCTTGCTCCTTGCTCATTGACACACCAGGTATGAAATTAGAGGCTTGTTGGGGCCACTCCAGCACAGAGTTAGGTATCCATTGCTTATGAGGCCCAGGTGTGAGCACTGCATTTTTTCTCAACCTGGTGTGCCCCATAAATTCTTGAGTTTCCCTGGTATGATTTTAGCACACACATGTGCCTCCAACTTAAATCATTCCTATTAAACTTGTAGGCTGGCTCCCTTCCTCGTCCCAGAAATGAGCCACTAATTAGTGTGTGCCCGATAAGTGATGTCTGATAGATGGTGTGTTTTGGGGTCCACCAAGGGGCCACAGTCAAAACGTAGTCAGACGCTTCTTCTATAATGGAATGTGAGGCCAAAACAGGGCCCCCAAAGCCAGTATTATACAATATGGAGTAGCATGGAATAGGGCATAGTGTGATTTCAACAGTTGTAGTGAATTCTTAGACCAGATTCTGTCTCAGTTCCTCCTCTCTTCATGTATGCCTTTAAAATCACAACAGCCATACTTTTATGAGTTTTCCTTATTCTGATGTAGAGGCTGCATCCAGCATTAGCTCAATTTAGCATATTAGAGTGTATTGCAACAGGGTGGGGATTCAAGGCTAGAAAAAGGAGCTTTCATAATAATAATTCCCATTATTATCATTGGAATGGCTGCTCTAGCCAGCTGAAAGCATTCTTCTGGAGCAAGGACTATGGAATAAGGATAAGCTATAAGTTTCACCATCTGCCTAGTAGCAGGCTTTTGAGACATATAAACCCATTTTTTTCCCAGTAGGTCGGGATTTTTAAACACTCATTTTTGTACACTAGTTGAGATTTTTTGCTTTTTTTTGTATGTGCTAGGATAATAGCGTGTAATAGCATGAATTTAGTTGGTGACAACTGAGGAGAAAATAGACGTAGGGGAGCCAGCTGTGCTCCACATGGGCCACGGAGAATTTTGGAGATGCTGAGATGCTGCTATTGTTGTACTCTAAGTGGCTCATCTGCATATAGTCTTAGTTACTTAAGTTTCATGTTGTCAAATTGACAGGCTCTTGAAGCCTTTGCAATGGAAGTCTGGGATTTTGTGACTGACTTTTAATATCCAAAGTGGAGTTTTAAAGTAGTGTCCATGTGTTACAATGTTGGGTCAGTGTCCTCCAGTAGTCAAACTTGTACCATGTCTGTAGGCTTTCTATAGCCCATGAGACGTTAACAAACTGGGGCTCTTGGTACACTTATGTGTTTGGGACGAAGGTGTTATCATTTGCTGTTTTAAACATTCCAAATTTAGAGGTGTTTTGTTCAGACAATGATGAAGTTGCCTAGTGACACCTTTTTCAGAAAGGCTTTAGATTGCTTAAGGGTAATATGGTTCAGTCTCCTTTCCTGACTCCATGCCCAGACAGGGTGAATCTGTTGTCATTCATATCCAGGAAGAAAAAGCAAAGCTTTTCTGATATGTGCACTTCCTTTACCCTGAAGTGCACATATCCCCGCACTAGCTAGGTAGAACCAAGGACGGGGTAGAATGATTTACGTAAGTCCTTATGGTCCTGAGACTTGGGCCAGTGTTCCATAAACCCAGTGGTATAGGATGGAAGTATGTATTGTAAGTTGCAATAATCCAGAATAGCAACAATTTTATATTGACTTTGATAGTCATCAATATAATTCTGTAGTTAACAATAAATTTTCAAGTTTATCATTGGAATATAAAAGCTTCCTCAATCTAGTTCTGTACTTTTTCTTATTGCAGCTCAGTAGACAAAGCCTCCTGATTTTGTATGAATATGTTATTGCACATCATACTTCTATTATACTTGTTGTATAGAAATGAAGGAAGAAGATCTAACTTAATTCCAAAACATATAGTCCTGATGTCAAAGTGACATTATGTTTTTTCCAACACCACTGTGAAATGATTGCAGAGTACTGTGTGTTTTATTCTCTACAGAAAGACTATAAAAGAGATCTGGAGACAGAAATTAAAGGGAAAGGTATGCAGGTCACCGCAGACACTCTGGATGTTCAGAGAGCTAAGAGGGCATCTGAGATGGCCAGCCAGGTATGGAAGGTGTAAGCACAGACTCTCCCGTGAAGGTCCTTAAGGAGCGGAAATGCCGCTTTTCTGTTAAAACACACAAATAGTGCTATGGCCTTGGAAAGTTAAGCAAATAACTGAGATTATTTTCTGTTCTTGTAGAAGCAATATAGGAAAGACTTAGAGAATGAAATCAAGGGGAAAGGGATGCAGGTGAATATGGACATCCCAGATATGCTTCGAGCCAAGAGGGCGTCTGACATCTACAGCCAGGTTGGTAGAGGATGAAGATGCTTGCAGTAATGTATGCTAATCCTGTCGCTGTGTGCTTCCTGAGTCTTTTTGGTTGGCATTTCTGGAGACATTGCCTTCAAAGTTAGGATGTTTTCTTTTGAGACCCTCCCTACCAAACTTGACTACCATTGCTACTAGAGGCACAGTGGCTACAGATCCAATTGAGTTGCCATTATGAAGTGCCAAAGTCACAGTGAGTCCCCTTTTTTGATGCCAAGAACATTTTGACATTATTTTTAACTCCATTACATACTTGCCTTGAATATTCTTTGTTCATACAACAGAAAAATCATTCTAAAAATCTTTTATTTCCATTTCACAATGAATAATATTTTAAGTAGCCTTCAATTAAATGAAGTAGTGCAAATTATATACTGTTAACTGATAATGTTAGCTAAAATTTTGGAGAAGACTAAGTTTTTTTAGTAAAACTTATTTGCCAAATATACCTGTCACATAGTCTCAAAAAATTCAAAAAGATAGGTGTGAATAAGGTCAGTAATATTCTCAGGATGATGAATATTACGTGCTTTCTTTCATATGAAGAACCTGAATTTAAACACACACACACACACACACACACACACACACACACACGGGTGTGTGTAGAGGAAGGAACTGATGAAAAGGGGGAAAGAGGAGCCCAGCAGGTGACAACAGGAAAGAAAAGACAAAAACTGCTTCTTTTAAAAATCTGAAAGTGAGAAAGATAATATCTCAAAAGAAAATTTATAGAAGAACAAAGAACAAGGTGCTTATAAAATCTGACTTGGAAGAAAATACACATTATTTAATCATGTCTTTGCTATAAAATTTACCTTGAAAATACATCCTAGTGGAAAAACTAATAGAGAATGAAAACATGAAATTGTTCTAGAAGCAAGGAGTTAAATTTGACTAATGAAATGTATGCTGAAAATAGCTTTGACCCAAATTGGATACATTTGTTCAAATTCTGGTTAAAGCAAAGCAGAAAGTGTCAACATTGGTTGGGTCAAGGTGGGAGTGCCAAGGCAGTGGAGTGAAAATGTGGGGGGTGCCTGTCTGCTCCTCAGTCACCTACCTAGGGCTGTGCAGCAGTTGGAATAGAACAAAGCCACGGTGTTTGGTCCCTCGTTCCTCATGCTGCATGAAGGCAATGAACTTGGAGACGCTGGCTGTATCTACATGAACTGAGTGTAAATCTCAGGCAAGTGCATGAAGTGGGCAAATGGAAGTGAGGAAGGGTGTGACGACAGCTGCATTCCAACACTTGCTTTGTTTAGCAAGTGGTTCTGTGCCGTATGGTTACCTTCAATAACTAGGGTGCTTGAATTGAGTCTCACTTCCCATGCTTCCTAGCTGGTGCCTATATTTCCGCATTTCATAGTGATATCAGTTTGTGAGATTGACTGAAGAAGTGAGTGTGTGTTGGGTATTGAAATAATGCCAATTACATCATAACATTATGTGTCCTGGTACGAAGGACAAACCCAGGTTTTATTAAAGGAGCTCATTGTAGCTCATCTACTGGCGAGGAACTTGAGATGTTTAAAAACCTTAACTATGAAAATTGTAGAATGTTTTCCTTAGCCACCGATCTTTACCAAAAACAGTAAACAAGGCATCAATCCAGAAGCTTGTAACAAGGTAGACATAGAAAGTTGGGTCACCGCAGAAGAAGGTCCCAAGTTTAGAAAAGACATAGAAGCTTGTCTCTCTGGGGTTTCTGAATGGTGTGGGGTGAGTATGGCAGCCTGCACAGAGTAGGGCTGCTGAGCGACTGTGTGCTCACTCCCTGGATTTAGTGATCATGTCCTCATCCACTTTGACTCTCGAGTTGTAAGTCATAGCCGTGTGGTGTGCTAGAGCTGGAGGTGGCCCCTATCTCCTCCTCCCTCCACACAGAGATTTCAATTTTTAATAATTTTATATTTTTAGAAAAAGTATAAAGACGAAGCTGAAAAAATGCTTCCCAAGTACTCCACTGTGGTAGACACTCCTGAAATCCAGAGAATCAAGACAACGCAACAGAACATTAGCAATGTGAGTAGCTGCTGTACGAAGGTCTTAGGGCTAGACAAATTCCAGCTCTGGTTTAGATCTCGGAATAATTGCATGTGTGTAAAAAGTTAAAGTGGGGATGAGATGTAGGTCTAAACATAAACGTCATTTGGGCTTCATGGAACCTTTGTATTCACAGCCTGAGACAATTCCATGTGTTATTTTTAGTGTACCTGGGCTATGACTGAAACATCACAGGGGCCAGGTGGGGAGCTTGCCACTTGCTGGCCATCAGAAAGTTTAAATTTCAGAAATTTTCGTTAGAGATGCCTACTTCGTATTTTTTTCAGTTGAAATTCTATCTATCTATCTATCTATCTATCTATCTATCTATCTATCTATCTATCCATCCAACCATCTACTCTTGTAGCTCTGGGGATTTTATCGAGGTCCTTGTTCAAGTTAGGAAAAAGTTCTGCTATTCAACTATAGCTCAACAACAGCCCCTCCACTTCTAAACTGTTATTTTTTTATGATGTCTTTTCCCTCATTATCTGATTTTTCCACTAAATTGCTTATGTTTTTCGCCACACAAATTTATTTCTTCAAAATAAAAATAAACTATTTTTATAAATTCCAGTTGTTAGATTTGTTTGGAATTTCAAATCCAAATTTGGTCTTAGACACAAATGGCAGACGCTGACTGAATTTTAGCTGCGGAAAGTCTTAGCTTCCGCACTAACTTTACTGTAAAGATGAAGGTGAACACAGGAAGGGACCTTCCTCCAGGTGGCCACTGAGTTTGCACGGACGGCATACCTAGAGACTCACTAGTTTAAACCGACCCGTGAACTTCCCTGCTTTTATTGTAACAGGAGTTGCCTGTGTACTGTTAAGAAAGTAGGCCTCTGCTAATTGATAAATGTATAAACCTGGATTTTGTGATGGAATTTTCAAATGGACCATACAGTCAAATGCAATAGTGTAGACTTGGCCCCGTCATTTAGCACTTAAGTACAACTAAGTGCCAAGTGTCTTTAAGCTTGAGGACTTCTGGAATACTCTCCACTTTCTCAGTAATTGGCCAACTCCCACTCTCCAGAGAGGTAGACTGTCTGTTGATTCTGGGATCTCCCTAAGAAGGGCCAGGCTGTACGAAGAGATGGGCACTGACACTGGAAGGTCAGAGAAAGGGATGCTCCCAATCCCTGTGATCTGTGATGTTCCTGATTCTTTCTTTCTTTCTTTCTTTCTTTCTTTCTTTCTTTCTTTCTTTCTTTCTTATTTTTTTTAATTTATATTGTTTATAGTATTCTGTCTGCATGTGTGCCTGCAGGCCAGAAGAGGGCACCAGATCTCATTACAGATGGTTGTGAGTCACCATGTGCTTGCTGGGAACTGAACTCAGGGCCTCTGGAAGAACAATCAGTGCTCTTAACCTCTAAGCCATCTCTCCAGCCCCCTGATGTTCCTGATTTTCATCTCTTTCAGTTCAGGTCTTATATTACTCTTCCAGCCCTGTGGTGTCTGTCCATTGATTAGCCAGTGTCCCTAGTGGGATCATTATGACCTCATGGGACTTACTAGGGCCACTGTTTTTCCTTGGAGAACTTTAGTTTTGTTTTGCTTTGTGCTTAGAAGGGGTAGATGTCAGGAATCTCTGGAATGATTTGAATAACTCAACAAAGGGGAGGATGAGGAAAATACAAGAGTCAAGGCTGACACTGTGAGACTTTTGTATTTGGCAGATTAGCAGTGGTGTGGCACCTCCCTTGTTTGGGGCTAAATGCTAACAGCTGAGTGAATTTCACTAACATGTCCTTTGATTTTTCTCAAATACACAATGCCATGTATTTATATTATCTATATCTATATTTTAGTTTTACAAGACAGGGTTTCTCTGTGTAACCTTGACTGTCCTGCCATATATTTATATTTAAAGCAGGAGACTGCAGATTGCCAGTTTATATTCTTAGGGCAAATAATCTACTCCTAGCTAAGGTACTCATCATGCCTTAGAACAAGTATTAACTGAGTTAAGAGGTTGTGAGATCGGAAATCAAAGTCAGCATTTATTATAATAATGGGCTATTTCCTTGATTCATGTAACATTGCTCCTCATAAATAAAGCCAGTATTCACACTACTGTAAAACCTGAGAAATAGTCTTTCTCTGTAACAGGCAGATCTAGGACTCGAATTCTAATAACCTTATGGTTCCTATTTTCTTCTTCCCACTCTGAAGATATCTTACAAGGAAGGAGTAGGAGCTGGTACCGCCCTAAGGAACACTCCAGAGATTGAGCGGGTGAAGAAAACCCAGCACAATATCAGTTCAGTAAGTTCTCCACGGCACTAATTATCCTTTCCCATAAACAGGGGCTGCATGCCTGTTTTCAGTTCTTTTCTCAGCAGGTTACTTTTCATCTTTTATTCTTCCCGGTCCTGAGAGATGATGTCATCAACCATCAAAGGTCTAACTTCCAAAATAAAAGGACAGCTTTGTTTCCCTTCAACCTGAAGCTCTATTTCGTTTCACTTGGAGCAGCAGAAAGAAGACATGGGCCATTTTAATAAAATCTAGGATTACGTTTCATCTTTTGGAACAGAATTTTAGCTGTGTTAAATTTTACAGAGAAAGGACACCTTGAATATTTTTCCACCTCTTGGAGCAAAGAAATTGCACCCACAATGAAATGATCAAAGGGCTCAGGATGTTTATATGATAGCTGAAGTGGTATAGACTTATTTTTTTTTAATGTAGCACCAACTCTTTTTTGCCCTGTGTCAATCACACTTCTGAGTTTTTCCCAAACACACCTCTGTGCCGTATTTCTATTTTCTGGCCTTATTTCCTCTCTACTTCCTCAGCAAAGAAAATTACATTGGTTGAGTATAAATTGTAAGATGTTACCCTACGGTGTTTTTGACTCTGGAGAATGGCAGGTAGGGGCAATTTCTCCCATTTACTGCTGGGCATGAGCAACAGATAATTCTTGTCCATCCAGGACGGGTTGAATTTGAGAGCATTTCATATGTTTAGTTTCCAGCCATGGGTGTGAAAAATGATTCTTTCCTTAGCATTCATTCCCTGCTCCATCTCTTCAGCTCTAGTCTTGGAGATACAACCTTCTAGAACTTCCCCTTAAACCGTCCAAATAGAACTGCTTTCATGACATGCACAGGGGCTAACGCAGAATTAGCTAGTGTTTTGAGCATGTGACTAGGTAGTGATTTCCATTGGAAAAGGAATTCCAGGAGGGGCAAGGAAAGTTATAAAAACTGTGCAGCGCATGAGTGCCGTCAATCTTTGTGCCATAAAGGAAGTCCTGTCCCGAGAATAGTATCTAGAGAGAGGACTTGGAGGCCCATGTCTGAGTTAGGGTGAATGACGTTTTGTTTGTTTAATGGGAATCTGAATCAGGCGCCACTCGATCCTGGCAGAGAATTTAGTTGGGGAAAGATGTGTAAAGTGTTACATTCCTTCACTCTGCAATGACAGTGTTTGAAATTCGCCCTTCACTGTCACAGTTACAAATGTTTAACAGTATGTACAATGTCTAGTCCATTCCTCTCCAGGAAATGACTGTGTATTTTTATGAAGAGTCTTGAAAAACAAAAATGTTCACTTTTAGTTATGTTGGACTTTTCTCCTAAGAAAAATCACAGAAAACAGTGCAGTGTGTCATCTTTTCTCCGCGAGTCTTTTCTAGCAAACAATAAATGCATTAGGTCTGTGTCTCTGAGGCTGGGCTATAACCATAACCCTCTGCTTAATATTCAAATGGAAACTTGGCCTTTCAAGATTAGCCCGATCTGTCAAACCAGGTGGTGATTCTCTAACATTTAAACACCCCGACATTTTCCACCTCTGAAGACAAGCCTTTTTGCTATTAGCTCTCTGTGCTAAGATCTGATTTTGAATTTCATTTAGAGGAAACCTGTTTGAGTGAACTTTCCATTTAACTATTTTGGGTCTGGGTTGAGACTGGCCTCTTGACTTGTGTTAAATCCGCAGACTCTAAGGTGGATGGTATCTGAGACTTTGAGGAACCTAGATTTCAGCTTTAAGCATTACCGAATGATTTCTAAAATGTATTTGGTGGAGATTTAAATCTCAGTTAATTTTCAGTGTGCACTCTTCGTTCTTACATAGGTAGGTTCTCTCTACCCAGGTCCTGTCTTCTGTGAAGTTTTAGTTACAAAGATGCCACCTGAAAGGGAAGCTCTTGCCTGTTTGTTTTCTTGCCCTATGCATTATCATTTTCCAGCTGATTTTCCTCTAAATAGATCTAGCTGAAGGGGCGATTCATGGATGGAATGAGTGTCAGGATACAGGCTGTGTTAGCAACTTTTTTCCGTGGCATGACCAAATACCTGACAAAAAGCCTCTTACAAGAGCAAAGATTCTTTTTGGCTCATGGTTTGAGGGACTATGGTCCATCATGGCGGGAAGCACTTGACCGTGGGCTGCTGCATGGCTGGGGAGTGTGGTGCCTGCAGGTAACCAGAACCAGGGTGCCTATAATTCTCATCTGCAGTCCCCAGCTGGACCAGTTACTCCCCATGTGGAAAGGTTCCCCAGATTCCCAGGACCGTGCCACCAGCTGGCAGAAGATGTGAAGACACATGAACCTCTTCCCTTTCTCTTTTGTTGTCACCACATTTCCTTTGTTCTTGTTCAATTTGATTATATCTGTGCTTTCAGTCAGATGTCAATATTTGCAAGACTCTGAGGCTAAGTCAATTTGATTTTTGCCTTTAAGTACATGTTAAATTCTAATTAACACATTAATAAATAAAACTGTTTCTCAGACAGAAAATAATAAATTATTATATTACAACAATTTCTAAGGCATTTATATGTATGCTTAATTATAAAGCTTTTGGTTATGAGCAATGCTTGTTTATATTAACCAAAGGATACCTATAGTGATAGATAAATGTGAATTTATTTGTAATTCAGGATAAAGAACCCAGAAAGCATGAGAAAATATAAGAAATTGTTTCCTACTAAAGGGAATATAATATTGGAAGAAAAATTCAATTATACAGTGGCGACAATAGAAGAATTCTAAACTATTTTAAGCTTTGGATAGAATAAATTAACTGCATTTTAAAATAAATTATTCAGGTGAAATACAAAGAAGGAATTAAACACGCAGCAGCCATTTCAGATCCTCCCGAGCTAAAGAGAGCTAAAAAAAAAACCAGAAGAACATCAGCAATGTGGTCGTATTTCCTCCAGTGCTTTTCTGTGGTATTAAAATACCACACATGATGGGAGCACAGCATTGGCACAGGTGAAGGCTCATTACAATGAGTGCCACTGTGCGGTCCTTCCTTGGAAGTAGAGATGACATTCCATACTGCTTTGTGTCCTCCACGATGTGCCTCCTAGACACATTTTTAAAATGAAGGTCCACTGTGTGCTCTCAGGGGGATTCAGTGAGTGAGACAGACTACAAGGTGTAGCACAATTAATAAAAGCCCAGAAACAGATATTGAGTTCAATCTGAAGGTCAGAAAAGCAAAACAGACAGCTACTGGCTCTTACCTCAATCTTAGTCCAAAATGGCGACCCTGCCTCCAGGAATCTCATAATGAGATTGTGTGTATGAGCTGTTTCCTCCCATTTTATAATCCTCTCTAGTGCTGTGATTAAAGACATGAACCACTACCGCCTGGTTTCTATGGCAAACTAGTGTAGCTACTGGGATTAAAGGTGTGTGTCACCACTGCCTGGTCTACAAGACTGACCAGAATGACTGTTTTACTCTCTGATCTTCAGGCAAGCTTCATTTATTAAAATACAAATGAACTATCACTACAACAAGGGGCTGTGAGTAGTCTCTAGGAGAAACAGGGCATACATTACTGGTATGCATTGTCTTACATATTGTCACAATGATTTGTATTTGTTGACTAGTCACTATTTTTTTTTAATATTTGACAAGTATTATCTTTTTTAACCATAAGCAATAATACTTCTTGCAAAATGTTCTGGAAATGCTGAGGATGAATAGTTTGTCACAGTGGGAGAGGAACGGTCTTGGAAAAGGAACAACACTGGAGTCTTGTCATAGAGACTTAGGAGAATGATTTCATGTGGCTTTTGTGAGGTAGGATCTTTCTGGAAGGGAAAACTAGTATTTTCCAAACCCAAACCTATTAAAAGGGGAGGACTGCTGTGATGAGCGTTGGGATGGAGGATGGTAGGAGGTGATGGTGGGACAGGAGATGCAAAACCAAGCATAAGACTGTAGTGTGGAGAATCCCTATAGTGTGACTCATAGATCATTCAAGAATATGTTAACAGTCCCAGTATTGCTCAGTTTTTGATCTGGTGATTAAGTTGTTTTACTTAAATACATTTTCCCCTTGCTTCTTCTTCCAAAAAAAGTATTGCCAGTCTCTTTATGATAGAAACAATACTCTGTAGTTGGTTGTTTTTACTCTTTTGGCACTTTGGGGGCTCAACATCCAGCTCCCAAGTAAGTACAAGGAGTCTTATTATTTTTTATGAATGCCCAGCCTTAGCTTGGCTTGTTTCTAGCCAGATTTTCTTAACTTAAATTGTCTCATTTACCTTTTGCTTCTGGGCTTTTATCTTCCTCTATTCATATACCTTTCTTTACTTTTTACTCTGTAGTTTGCTATGTAGCTGGGTAACTGACCCATGGTGTCCTCCTCCTTCTCTTCTTCTCAATTCTTGATACTTTCTCTTCCTCTCCTATTTATTCTCTCTACCTGCCAGTCCAACCCATCCTTTCTCCTGCCTCACTGTTGGCTGTTCAGCTCTTTGTAAGACAAATCAGTTGTTTTAAACAGGCAAAGGAACACAGCTCCACAGAGTTAAACAAATGCAACATAAAATAATGCAACACATCTTTGCATCATTAAACAACTGTTCTACAATATAAACAAATGTAGCACAACTTCAACTAACATTCCACAACAATGCTCTCTCAACTTCATTTGAAAAGTAAGTGTATAATAGCATAGATCTTATAGAATTTGCGTGGTGTGTCATACAGGCCTCCAGAAGAATTCAGGATGTTTTGTTAATACTGAAGTCATGGAGAGGAACATGGACCATAGAGTACAGATAGGCTTGAATCCAGTTCTCTAGACTTCACTTATTATACACTCTTTATAGACTTTCACCTATGAAATGTCCTTTTCTATAAGGCATAGATTAGAGTATTAAAGAGATATTGCCTTTAAGTCACATGTCAAATTGATGAACAGGAGAATCAGGACAGGAGTCTCCCATTGAATTGTCATCTGGGTTTCTTTCACTAGCAATTGTAGTTCCTCCCTCTCAGCAATGTGGTTCCACAAATCTTCAGTTCAGCTCTAACATAAATGATATTTCTACCAATAAAGATGGCATGAAACATTTCTCTTTGTATCTCTATCATTTCCAGGCTGAGAACTTGCATAAACTCTTACATGCAACCGTGCACAGAACGTTGCTCCTTAGGGAGAGGGTACTTTGGAAGAAATCTAACCCTTTCCATTTATTCTTCAGGCTTCTCAAATTTTTCTTCATTTGTATGTTCAGTCATAAGAATATGCATTTTGGGTGCAAGGTCTGTATAAATCCCTAAGGCTGAATTTAAATTCAGAAAAGGCATTGACTGTCACTGCACAGCTCCTTGCAAAAGAATTTTCTCTTCCAGATTGACCTCAGCCGTCAGAAACTTTGAGCAGATATGCCGTCCCTTTGCTCTGTGTTTGGCGCTCTTTTATTTCTTGAGATGTGGAATTGTTGGGGAAGTTGACTGTGGTGGTAAAGTTGTCTCTTCTTCTGCTCTCGGTTAAGAAAGAAGATCTGTATGCAGTAGGTCATCTTCTGTAGTGTTAGGCCAAATGTCAGGTCTTCTGACGTTAGAACTTGGTAAGGGGAGAAACTGATGGTCCTGTGAGGAAAGTTAGTAGAGATAGTACGCCACTGCAGTACGTGCGTGGGGTCCTTGTAACCTTTGTTCTCAATGCGTTGAGTAATGACAAGAGTCTATTTTACATTTAACATGGCTCCTTTCTAAATGACGATGATAATAAATCATTTTAAGAATAAGATGGCAATTTAGTAAACATTACTTTAATGTCAAGAATTGGTGAACTCACAGAAGGTATAATTCCTTATTATTGATGAAATCAAAATCAGGAAGTAATCAACAAATTATATAATGTAAAGATTAGCAATGAAAGAAATAGTTTAGAATATTTGACAAGGAAAAACTTGGGGACTAGGGTCTCAAGGTGACATCTGGAAAAAGTGGACACAAAGCCTTATCTTCACCCAAGAAGCTATTTCCAATTGATACTTGCTGAGAATATGAAAATCATTTTTGTCTAATGGAGTATCAAGCACATTTTAGGTCAGACTCTATGACCACAAGTAACTGGCCAACACGACAGAAACATGGAAATGTTTGTTTTGGGGGGATTTGTATGTGTGTGTGTGTGTGCATTTGTTTTATTTTGTTTTGGTATTTTTGGCTTTATTGCTTTTTGTCTGTCTCATTCTTGAGGGGAAAAATGACAAAACGTTTGTAGATAAGAAGGTGGGAATATTTGAGAGGCATTAGAGGAGGGGAAGAATATGATCAAAATACACTATATGAAATTTTTAAGTAATTTAAAAATGACTATTAGTTCATGGAGAAAAGATAAAATATTAATGATCTGTAGCACGTGACATTTCCTTTAGTATGTTCCTGTGGTACACATTTATTTCCCATGATTCCAAACTATCTTACGCTTTGTTCCTCAGCTCCAGTATAAAGATCAAAACTATAAGGCCACTCCAGTAACCATGACCCCAGAAATAGAGAGAGTGAGGAGGAACCAGGAACAGCTGAGTGCGGCAAGTCATTCTGTTTTCTTTTATATTTTATCTAACAGGATGTATTTTTCTTTTTCAAAAAGACGCTCTGTGAACCAGTGGACAAAAGCGTATGCATTTGGGCATGCTTTCACACAGTGGCGCATTGGAGGGCATAGAGTATGAGTCTTGTGTGAGTCAGGAAGTCTGCATCCTGCTTTCTTACTCAAGAGGGCTTTGTCCCGGTTGCTGGGACATGAGGAGCCATAAGAGCCGCATCTTTTCCCCATGAATTCTTTAGTTTACTTCTAAATCTCTAAAATTGCATCTAGGTAAGAAGCTGGGAAGTAGAGAGGAGGGGGAAACAATATTAGAGATAGGACAAGAGAAGACTTGGCTTGATGGGCCCTTACCATGCAGTGCCAATGCAAGGCACCTCATAAATGAAATGGGAGACACCAGCCAGTCATTTAATAATTCATTGCAATAATGTTGTCCTAGTTAACCGAGGGGGACCTCTGCTCTGTTTTAATATTACATGTGAATATCTGAGCTCAGCATTATTAATTTCTTTGACGGATGGATGTGGAAAACTGAATTTTGAGGATCAGAGACCATGCCAAAAATCTGTGGCAAGTAAGGGCAGAGCTGGGACTTGAACTTAGGCCTCCTGGAGTTTAGAAATCTCTGTAGGGTAACCCCAAGTAATTATCTTTTACCTTTTGTCAACCTTTTATTGGGAACTTTCTTCAATAGTGAGAATAGCCTCTTTCTTGCAAAACTGGTATTTTGAAAGACTTTCAAATGTAAGAGTTAAGTTCTCTCAGGTGGAGGAGGAAAGTAAAAGTGAACATTGTGTATCTTTAAACCTCTGAAGGTAGAGGAAGAAGTCAGGGACGTTTTAATGGTGGGAACTAGGAGGCCAAAAGCAGTCCAAAGCACTTTCCCAGCCTGCCATGGGGCCTTCATCCTGGTTTATTGTCGTGGTGCCATTCTGATGTTTCTTTTTAAGGGTGTTCCCTTATCTCCATTGCTTTTCTTTGTAAAGTTTGTAGCTAGCTGTGGCATGAACCAGGCTGCTTATTGAAGATCCCCTTCTAAGCAGCGTATTCAGCTCTTCTTGATCAGTTGAGTTCAGTCAATAGGAGGTCACTATGTTAAAAGCAAGAGTGGACTTGAGTCCCAACCCTTGCGATCGTCACTTAGAGCTCTTTATACTATTTATTTTAATTCTTATATCTCCTCTATAGGTCAAATACAAAGGAGAGCTAAAACAGCCAACTTCCATTTCGGATCTTCCAGAGCTGAAGAGAGTGAAAGAAAACCAGAAGAATATCAGCAATGTGGGAACATCTCAATATTTATCGTTTGTATTTAATGATATCAAATGTATCAATATGCAGATGAAGGAACTGTATTAGAGCACAGGTTCTCAACCTGTGGGTCATGACCCCCCCCCCACATATCACACATCCTGCATATCAGCTATTTACATTATGGTTCATAACAATAGCAAAATTATAGTTATGGAGTAGCAAGAAAATAATTTTATGTTTTGGGGTTTCCATGGCATGAGAAGCTATATCCAAGGGTTGCTGCTTTAAGAAGGTTGAGAACCACTGTATTAGAGAGTTGCTAGTCTCAGCTGACGGGCAGCTTCTTCAGGGAACGGTGTCAGGTGGTAGGGGCTGTCGTGTGCAGTGCTGTATTGTGATGACTGTCCTGTAGTTTGTGGCATATAATCCTCCTTTTACTTTCATGCTGGTGATTGCTGTGGTTGCTACAAAGACTGGGGTAGTTTCTGGCATCTTTGTCCTGCAGTCTAGTGTGCTCTGACTGCAGAGTTCCTACCTGCCTGAGTTCTTGTTTGTCAGGCCCCTCCCCTTCTCTCACCCGTGATGATCATTGCCATGTTTCTGGGGGACAATGGTGAAGTATGTGTGGTTGACTGGCTATAGCATGTGAAATGGAGCAGTTAATAGGTACTTGGCCCAAGGCAGCATTCTTTCAGTTAGACTCGTGGAGTACTCTAGATCCCTCTGTTTATATAACTCACCCACAGTTCACTGAGAGCATCCTTTGAGGATCTCATTAACATACAGAGTGGGCTCCTTGGAAGAGGAAATTTAGAAATCTATTAATCTTCAAAGAAGTCTTTTATGCTTCAAACCATGACCAGTTTATGAATCAAAGGCAGGTTATCATTTGATTCTTTTCCTAAGAGCTATCTTTTGGAGGAGTAAATGTTCATTTCTTCCCAGTCATACTTGATATGACTATTATTCTGAAGAAGGGATGTGGTTAGTGAAAAGGAGGAATGACATGGAGACAGGCATGATGTCTTTACATGACTTGTCATGGTCACCTGTGAAGTACATCCTTTCAAGGCTCCGCTGAAGTTAATTTCTGATAAAGCACAACTATGTGAGTCCATTCTATTCAAACAATACTCGTCATGTCCACAAAGCATTTCTTCTCATGCCCATCTGGGATTAAAGGCTCACTCCAGGCTCGCTGGTGATATATGCGAGCCTAGCCACACTGATTGAGAAGAGGTCCGCTGCTGTGCCAAAATGAAATGGAAGCTTGAAGATGAAAGCATTTTAAGTCCCCCCCTCCCGCTCCTCCCTCTCTCCTTTGTCTTAATGAGTTCCAGTCCTTGGCTAGTCCTTTAAAATTAAATATGACGTGATTCCTTTTTTGTTGAACTGATTCACAATCTTCTATTTTCCTTCTCTGAAATGGTAGGTTTATTATAAAGGTCAACTGGGAAGGGCCACGGCTTTAAGCATAACTCCTGAAATGGAAAGAGTAAAGAAGAATCAAGAAAATATTAGCTCGGCAAGTGGTTTTAATCCATTTTGGGCCATTGCAGAGAATGTATCCTTTACAATTTACTTGTGTTGCTTACTGTCTTATGAATAAAATCTGTTTCCAATAAACACATATACTATCGCAGATGAATCCCCAAAGCTCTCACTATATACATTTACGTTATTGTGCAATCCCTTGTTAATATTCCTAGATATGACTGATAGCTACATCGATAGTTTATTTAGGCTAAGAATCATGTTATTTTATTCAATATCTTTGAAACTGACCAAATCTTTAATATATAAATTAAAAAATTGTCATTTTACTAATGTACTTCACTGAACATGAGTTATTAAATGCTTTCTACAAAAACATGTAAAAATGAGTAATTCAAAATAAGAATTCAGAAGATAAAAGGGTTAGTGCAGTTAATATCACTAAAACTAAATCAGGAAAACGGTTCATGGTGAGTGTGCTTCACTTTAGTGAATTGTAAGGCTCCAGGGCTCCAGGGCTCCAGGGCTCCAGGGCTCCAGGGCAGGAATCCCGGAAATGCCCACAGTTCTGAGCCCTGAGCCCAGCACACCCGGCAGATTTTCGTGCCTGGGGGTCAGCATATGAGATTCATAGTTGACAGCTCTCTCATAGCATTCCTGTCCAGAGAGACTGGGTGTATTCAGCATCAATTGTCTTTAAGCTCTAACTGCTCAGAAGAAAACATAGAACTGTCCCCCGTGTTCCTCATTCTCTAGAGAGGGAAAAAAGAGAGGAAATCGGAAGACGTCTCATGTACTCCCCTCAGCACTCTTAGAGTAGAACATTGCTTAGCAACAGAAAATATGACTGGGCTCTGTTTCATGTTTTATCCGCCCCGTTTAAATGTGCTGAGCAGGTCCACTGTGGTCATTTCCTGACTGTTGGGCACACGTGTTTGTTTGCTCTTGACAGACTTAAGTCCTTTGTACAATACTTTAAGGGGAATCATCAAGAGTGTAATTTTAGGTGACTATTCTGGAACAAAATGTAATCCACCGGAAGAAAAGCTACCTGGGAAATAATTCTGAGTAGGTTGCACATGACTCACCCATTTGAAAAGCTTCAAAATGTTATGCAGCATTTAGGTTATAGTTATCCAGTTATATGAATGTATGTTGTTTCCTTTGCAGGTGAAATACACGCAGGACCACAGGCAAATGAAAGGCAGACCATGTCTGATCTTAGATACACCTGCTTTGAGACATGTTAAAGAAGCACAAAACCATGCTTCCATGGTAGGATGAGACAGATCATTGTCTCCATGACTAAAACATACTAAGGAATGACAAGACCTGTGTTTGGATGGCATAGTTCACTATTAATCTGGACAACTAACAACACATGGGCATGGGAATGAGCCCTTGGGGCAGGGTGTTATAACCACATTGAAATGTAATGAAAATATTCACTCTAATAAAATAATTTCCCCTCGAAGATTTTTGGTGTGTTTTTATTTCTAACTTGATAATTATAAGTACATGTATAAATGACATTTATCTAGCCTTTGTTTTTTACTTAAGACTTATTTTGGTATATTTGAATATTATAAAGAATATTTTTGAGTGTGTTTCAAAAGCAGTGTTGTATCAATTTTTTACCATTAAGTTTATCCATTTAAAGTGTTTAGCTTAAGCTAATCTTAACAATTATTGCCCTCTTTGAATTTCAGAACATGAAAAGAATGTATGTTTTATAATATACAATTTTTATAAGTATATATGAAATTCCACACAATATATCTCTTAATCTAATTTTAAGTAGCACTGTGGCCTTGAAGAATTGTGCTCCAATGACTAATCACTATTGCATATTACAGGTGAAAGAAAGGAAAGCAATTCGTTGTCAAACTGTGTGTTTTATGCAATAACTAGTGTTTTTAAGTAATTGTCTTTTATAGCTTACTGATATATAGGTTTCCATATCATTTAAAGAAGATGCTATTTATAGTGTTTAAAAATTATAGGTGTTTGGTTTCTGACATTGTTTTCAGGGTATTTGTGCAAAAATTTTGTGAGACAATGAGGAATTTCAGTTTGAATTAATAATACTTTTTTTTTCTTTTTCAGGTCAAATATCATGAAGATTTTGAGAAGACAAAGGGGAGAGGCTTCACTCCCATTGTGGATGACCCTGTGATGGAGCGGGCGAGGAAGAACACCCAGGTTGTGAGCGATGCTGCCTATAAAGGGGTCCAGCCTCATGTTGTGGAGATGGATCGGAGACCTGGGATCATTGTGGGTAAGTGTGTGGTCTTCTCACGGGTATGCAGGACAAAAGACTGTGCTCACATTCATCTGACCTGACAGGTTTGGGGAAATTCCAAATAGATCACAGGCAGATTGCCTTGGCATCATGCTGAAAGGGACCCAGGGATTTCAGTATTGCTGGTACTTTTTATTTCCGAGTGTTCTGTGTAACATCCTACACAGCATCAGCAGCATCCCTGAGAGCATTGATTATAATGGTTGAACATTCTGCTTCCTGGAGCTTGTGTGCTTGCTGGGTGAAAGTGTTACACCGTAGACATTGTGCCCATGGGAGACAGAAGAGTTATTTCCCGTTTAGGCTCTTTTGTCGTTAAACAGAATCTGATGGTATTCTGTCACACAGATCACTTGTATTTTTGAACTGAATTTCTGAGCTATGATATTTGGGGGCCACCTGAAAGCCTGGTTGTTTAGAGAGGAGCCCTTTCTTCATTGTGTCTTTTTCTTACATTCAGTCTAGGGACATCCTAGGGAATGTGGCTTGAGCTATCAGCAGGAATCAAGCTGACGTAGAAGCAGGCTGGAAAGGAAAGCCATGAAGTCTCAGCATAGATCATGAAGTTGGGGCAGGAGCAGCTGGAGGCAGTTGGTCACGTTGCATCCGTGCCTAGGAAGCAGCGAGGGCTGAACACTTGTGTTCAGCTCACTTTCTTCCTTTCATTCACTTCAGGGCCGCAACACATAGAATGGCACACCTGCATTTAGGATGGGTCTCCCCACCTTAGTTACCTCAGTCATGATAATCCATCCTGGGTGTGTCCAGGGATGTGTCTCCACAGAGGCTTTAGATTCTGTCAAGTTGACCATACAAGTTGCCATCCCAGTCAGAGAGGTTTTGGCGACCACGGTATCTAGCTGTCAGTAACCTCACCTTCCTCTTCAAGGGAAGGGCTTCTGCTGCAGAGTCAGAGCGGTGACAGGGCATGGAGGGTGGGTTGGGTGGGAAGCACACATTTCACGAAGTAACATTTAGTCTAAAGCGAGAGTGCTAAACTAACACCAAAGCCCCGAGTGACTAGGATCCTCACCAACGGGAAGTAGAGTATTTTCCAAAGAAATACTCCAGGCCTATTTGTAGGCTGTTGATAGCTTCACTCATTTCCCCAGGTTGATTACTTACTGGGTCATAGTAAGATGGATGGATGAACTGTGATGTTTTCAGTACAAGTGATGCAGAAGTAGAGTTTCATTGATTTGTGCTAATAAGTCATAAGACAGAGTGGCGTGATTCATCTCACCCTGGGGTCCTACAAAGACGAGGGACTAGGAATGATGGTGAAATCATTGCTAAAAGTGATGAAACTGTCTAGACAGGGCTCTCAGTTAGTATTTATAGTATTTTCAATAGCACTTATCACTATTTTTTAAAATATAGATTTATAACTAAAATTATTTATTCAATGGACAACCTAGGAGTCAGTTTCTTTTTTCTTATGGGGAAAAAATCAGTGTCCATGAAGGCTTGCTTATAAGATCATAAAACAAAATACATTTAACCAACACTAAATGTCCCAGTGAGCCAGGGTCTACATCATGAATGGAAATACAAGTACATAGATTTGCTGATGAGTGCAGACCAAGACAGTTGATGCTGCTCCCTTTTTTGTTGTGGCGTTCTGCTGCTGCTGTTTACTAGCTGGATGAACTTGGCAGGGCTACTAAATCCTTTCTAGTCTCAGGTTCCTTACCTATGAAATGATGACAACAGCAGTGCCTAGAATAGTAGATATGAGTTCGGTCATAACAGAGAATAGTGCTTGGCATATATTCACAGTATATCATTGAGAAGAAAGTCTTTGCTTTTAGTTCTCTGATTATGCTATTTTAAGCTCCCCTCATTTCTTCCATAATTGGGTATTTATTCCCCAGTTTTGTATCACTGCACAGCCCTCTTAGGTCCAAGCATTATGATAACAAATATATTCAGAATTTATTAAACTTGAGTTTTGCCTGTAGCTACAATAAAAGATAGGCACTTTGGCTGCTTTGTTTGTTAGTCAGATGTCTGTCACTGTGACAAAATATTTGAGAAATCAACTTAAAGAGGAATTGTGTTCATTTGTCTGACAGCATGAGGTTTGAGCCCATTGTCTTGGCTCTCTGGTTTTGGGTCTTGTGGGAGTATAGTGCAGGGCAGTCAGAGTGTGCAACAGAGAAAGGTAGCCACTGGAAAACAATGGAGAGTTGGGTGGGCTTGTCCCAAGGTGGTCTTAAAAGGAACGCCCCAGTTACCTAACTTCCTGTTACCAGGGATAACCTCTTGAAGTTTCTACAACTTTGAAAAATGTCACAAGCTAGTGAAGGTGTCTTCAATACATGGACCTTTGTGGGGACACTTCAGATATAAACTATGGTGACAGTGTGGTAACTGAATACAGAAGTAACTAATCTATGATTCATTGAGGGCAGAAAGCATGTTTGTTGCATGCCTTCATGCCCCATCCCTCATGGTTCCTTGTTGGAATCCTTTCTAGGGAATTGGGATAAATGTGTCCTCTATGGCTTTATTTGTTCCCATAGACCCCACCAGTCTTGGAATAAAAACTGAACCTGTCACTTGTCTACATTTCCAGCATTCTTTCCTGTTACAGGGAGAGGACAGTTTTAAACAAAAGCATTTCTGTCATTTCCCATGACGACTCAGGTGTCCTCAGGCTGGAACTTGAGCAGATGCTGTCTGTCCTTGGGTGAAGCACAGGAGTGCTGGGGGTTGGGGATGCTATAGAACTGAACATGGCAGCCATGTGTGAACGTACCTTGGGCTGAGTCATAGGTGCTTCATGGAGACTCTGATGCTGGGCCGTGAAGAAACTGGCTGCTCACACTGGATGAAAGTGAGGACTGCTCCCCATTTCTCTGGCTCTGAAGTGCCCTGGGCCACTTTTAACATGTTGCCTTTGCTTGACTGTTTCCCTTGCTGACTTTTCAAAGCTCCTTCTTCATCTCTTGGTTTCTTCCTTTTGGTGAAAGACCTCAAAGTATGGCGCACAGATCCTGGCTCCATCTTCGACCTTGACCCCCTGGAGGACAATATTCAGTCTAGAAGTCTCCATATGCTCTCTGGTATTGTTTGAGTTCCTCTCTCTTTCCCTAGGTTTTGTTGGAAAGTTAATGACGACGCATTATAGACTTTCACTGTGGCAAACATACCATGGAAATTGAAAGCTGAGAATTCAGAAAATGCGAGAAATGTACTATGTCACTTTAGAATAACATTAGTTATTTATGAAAACAAAACTTATAAAAAGAACTTGGAAATAAATCCTACATTAGTTTGTCCTAGATTCTTTTAAAATGGTGTTTAGAGCATACTTTCATTTGCCTTTCATTGGTAAATGGGATTCTATAGGCTTTCTGGGACTGCGGGCCTGGTTATTTGGATTGCAAAGACCTTCTGGGACAGAAGGGAGATTTGTTTCATGAAATACAGTATTATAATATTTTAGAGTCAAGATTCAAAACTTATACATACAACAACAGGAAAGTTTCTTTACAGCATCATACAAGCTTTCCAATTAAACTTTCAGGAGTTTTGCTTTTCTCTCTGAATTTCTATACATGCCTTTTCCCTCATGGAGGCTTATTTGATTGTGAGCTTGGGTGACATGTCTATCACTAAAAGGGAAAAAAATGAATGATTTCGTATAGTTACCAAACATTTAGACTTTTAAGCCACTTTAAGCAAATATGGTTTGTAAATTACTATCTAATTTCACAGTCTCAAAAGAAACAAGATACAAATATCCTGTACTCAGGGCTACTTGAAAGCAAGTATTTAAAGCAGATGTTCACTCTCAAAGAATATTTTCTTTTTACTTTTCTAGTGTTTGCTTAGTGATTGTCTGTCTCCTATCCCTTATGTCTCTTAAAAAACAAACAAACCCTACAGACTAAACGAGAAGAAATGTCTTGTAGGTCCTGTATGTATGTGGTGCAGTCCTTCCTAAGTCTGGGGTGGGTCGCTAGAACCTTAGAATAGCAGAGCTTCGGGATTTTTATTTAATCAGGAACTGTCTTGCTTCCCCGTGATGCTTTGTTTGTTGTCTAAGTCACGCACTCATGTGTCGAATATTCTCCCTCTGATGTAGAAAAGGCGAGTCAGTACCGGAGACACCTGTCTCGTTCCCAGTCCAGCAGCACTTTTGGTACAGGTCTGGGAGATGACAAGTCGGAGATCTCTGAGCTCTTCCCTAGCTTTTCCTGCTGCAGTGAGGTAACCAGGCCATCTGACGAAGGAGGTATCAAACCACAGCCATGTAAAACTAATTCACCTCTCCAGTGTGCACCAGAGTGTCTTGTACACACTTTCACCTTTGCACAGCTTGGGTGTACTTGGAATTTTAATTTGAAGTTTGGAAAGATAAGAATCTTTTATGTAAAACTACTAATTTGTAGTTTGGCATGCTTCACTGTTGTCCATACAATGATCCATAACAACAAAGGGTCCTGGGAGATTTGCTACGGGGTGCATGACTGGTGTGTATGTCATGGATATGCACAGTCTTAGTAGATACCAGAGCTCTGTGTAGTTTCTGTATGGCTTTCATTAGGGGGAGAAAATCAATCTTACAGTAACACTTGAGTGGTTAAGAGATTGCTATAAAATGGTGTGTGTTTTAATACTGATATATATTTATTGAGTTACAGCTTGTCAAAAAGAAATGGCATGTAATACTTGGGATGTAAGATTTCTTTTTTTAAGTAGAAAAATATTGTTGTTGGTAATAATCATCACTTTATTGTGAATTCCTCTCCTTTTCATGTGGTTTTTCTTTTCTGTATCAAAGCTAATGGATTGCTTGTAGAACTTTCAGTGCCTTCCATTAGGATGTTACATGTTGGCTGTGGCTGATAAAGCTGTTATTAATAACAAGACTCAATGCATTGGGAAGGCAAGGAGACAGCTCAAATACTGAGTTGTCTTGTCAAAGATCAGACTGCTGAAGTTTCTAGGTAGGAGTTTAAAGTTAAGTAGCTGAGTACCTAGGGGAAGTAAACATCATTTCTGCGGACAGCTCTTGTTTTCAAGTCATTGTCTGTATTCACCACAATAACACATTATGAACATAAAAACAATCATACTCTTTATACTTGAATTCTAAATATACCCTGGCTTGAGATTGCTAGAGGATTTGTTGGAGATGGAGGACTTCCTTTTATTCAACCTTTTTCCAAGACAGAATCTTGCTACATATAAACTCAGACAGGCCTCAATCTTGTGGTCCTCCTATCTCAAGCTTCTGAATGCTTAGATTGTAGTACCTTTAAAATTATTCTCAGGCCCCTTTTATGCAGCTCCAAAGAAAAAATTATGAATGAATTTTGCTTTATTGTAGACAAAACGCTGGTTGCTTGCTTTCTTCAGGGTCTGGCTTATTCATGAAGGCTTCTGTAACTACTTCAATGATTTTTCTTCTTTTTGGGTGGGAGATACAGACTCTTCCTTCAGTGCCTTTTAAAGTTCTGGATGCACATACTACCACTGATGCTTGATGAGATAAACACAAGAAGCAAATGTAAGAAGTAGTGTGGTCAGTGACACTTAGCATCACCCAGAGTGTTTGTTTCAGTGGTGACTCTTATATTTCATGTGTGCACAACAACACAGCAATCACTCATCAAACATACAACTGCACTGACCAAGAACTTGGATCTGTAATGCATCCCATGGTGAGCAAAAGAGACAGGAATCTACTGCGGAGGGGGGGGCATAGCCTTTAGTGGGGGACCCTGATATTAAACAGGCACAAAAATGCTACTACATAATTATAAGCAGATATGTGCAGATGGGACAGGGCCTAAAGGATAGTTGATAGGCAATTTCGTTTAGCCTTGATGTTAGAAAAGACTTCCTCAAGGAAGGAAAGTGGTTCTGACTGAGCAGAGCACTGCGAGGCCATGACATTGGCTCGTTCAAAAAGAAGTATCACCTAGATCGTTAAAATCCAGAGAGTGCACTGATGCAGTATTCTGAAGCCCCCTTCCAAGTCTACATATGGCCTTGGTTGACTCCACATAGACACAGAAAATCAGAACTGCTTACTCCAGGAGCCTCAGCTCCCATCTACAGTAAAGATGCCCGGGTTAGCCTGGGTCACTACTTTTTCTCTCCCAAGGCTGTAAAACCCACTGCTGTTAGCTGTGCTTAATCTCCTCTTGCCTTTCAAATCACTGTTGTGTTTTTTTTAAAAACTATTTAGAAAAAAGAATCAACTCCTATTTGAAGTTGAACTGAATGAGATGATGTCTCTGTTGAGAAAAAGTACCAACAAATATTCTTTTGCTGTTATTAGATTTTAAAGACTAGAGCTGCCTCCTCCTCCTGTTCATTTAGATTGTAGGCAGGTGCCATCTTGCTTATTTTGGAAGAAGTTTAAAAATATTTTTTGATGGTCTGGAGAGAGCTCTGTGGACAAACTACTTGCCATGCAAAGTATGAGTATAGTTTGGTTCTCCAGAAACCACACTAGTGCCCAGTGGGTATGGTGGCCATTCATGATTTCAGCCTAAGAAGGCAGGGACAGGGAATCTTTGGAGCAGGATGGCTAGCTAGACTATATTGGTAAGTTCTGGGTTCAGGTGAAGAGTAATTGAGGAAGACTACAGTTGTTAACTTTGTCCTTCAATGCACACATTCATCCAAACACATGAGGACATGCATGCACACATGAGGACATGCATGCACATATACATACATGTTCACACTGTCCACTTACTTATTTGATTCTCTTGTTAGTGAGTGATTAGTGTCAGGATGGGATCTTGGGCTTCCTGCCTGCTAGGTAGATACTTGACCACACTCTCAGACCAGAAACGTTATTTAAAATAAAGGGATTTTCTACTCTGAGCAATGTGGCAGGAGGTGCATTTTTAACAGGCAGTGAAGGCTCACTGGGTTGAAGAAGGCCTGTGATGTCAAATGGACTCTTTTGAGGTATTTGTAAGTTTCTGCTGTTTATAGGCACCTCTTACAAGGATGATATACTCTTGATTTAGGGACACTATGCCTAGTTTTTCAGGTAGGCATTGAAGTGTGAAGTAGAAGTTAAAATGTAGTAAAAGTTTGATGATATCAACTCAGGAGATTCAACACTAAAAGGTTTCTATGCTCCTTGGAGAAGTCTTAATTATGCATAAGAATATGTCCTTGATTTCCTTCATTTTAGGTGAAGCAAAGCATAGTCAGTGAGATCCACCTTGCCTGTGTTCAAGTGAACAGTGACACACACACTTCGTGTGTTCAAAACTACCCCCAACTACCAGACTATGGTTATGGGTCTGAGGCCATTTAGAGTTTTGCTAGTCTGATTAAGAGTAAATTTGAATAAATAAGATATTTTATTAAATACCAGCCAGGAACATGTATACTGGCCAGGTCCATACTGGAGACTTGTACTTAGATTATGGCCCTGAATTACATTAGTCAGAGGTTTACTAAGGCAAAACTCACAAGGCCATGTGTTTTCTGCCTTCATGCAATCAGTGGCAAGCATATATCCTGACGCATTTCCTGTCTATGTACTTCCTACCTAGAGTGTACATCCTATGCAACTGGGGCAACCAAGCTTGTTTTCAGAAATGAAGACACATGGCTTGTTATCTTACATAAACAACAGCCCTAACGTTCCAGGAAATTATCTGTACTTGTACATTTTAACTCTGTCTTCATACCTCAGTGCTTACCTGGAAAACTAGGAAGTGTTCCTTAATAAAGAGTATATTATATGTAAGTGGAGCTTATAAGTTAGAGACATATTTGTTTTATAGATATCTTAAGGACAATAATTTAAACATAAGGCATAATGTTTGCCATCACACTACCCTATATCCTTTCAAATCTTTATTCTCTTGGGCTTACAGTTTGCTAAGTGATAGCAGCAACTTCTCAAGTCATAGAGCCAACCTCTTTGGAATCATTCTGCCCTTTTGTCCTTTATTCTTTCTTCACGATGCATTCATTAGAATGTCTTATCAGTCTGCCACGCGGAGCCTTTTCTGGGGCTGCTTCTGTTACCTCTCTCACTGCTCTGAGAACATATCTGAGCCAATGGCTGGCAGACGTGATGTAAGAGAGGTAGGTTTTATTGTGGCTCAGGGTAGAGGAAGTTATATAGTCCACCATGGCAGGAAAAGCATAATGGTATTCATAGTGGCAGAATCTTGTGGTGAGGACTCTTCACATCTTGGTTAACCAAGAAGCAGAGAGCTTGGACCACAAAGCAGGGTTAAGCCATAACTCTCAAAAGCTATTTCCTTCAGTGGTCCACTTTCTGCAGGGAGGCCTGCATCCTAAAGGTTCCATAACCTAAAAGAATCCAGAAAATAAGGGCCACAGGGCTGGGGAGATTTCTCAGTGGGTAACGTTTTTGCTGCATAAGCATGAAGCATCCGAACTCAGATGCCCAGCACACATGTCAAAATCTAGTATGATGATACACGCCTGTAATCTTAGTGGTTGGAAGCAGAGCCTGGAGTATCCTGTGGGCTCTCTAGGCAATCAATCTAGCCAATAAATACATAAATAAAGTAGAAAGTTACTGAAGAAGACACCTTGCATTGATCTCTAACCTCCATAAATTCTCATGCACACACTGAATATCTTTGTAAAATAAACTCTCTTGTAGAAGGCCTGGAAGGGAACTTTCACACGTTTGTTTCAATGTCTTGATGTTTTAATGACACTGAAGTAAAGCTGAAAACAACTTGAAGTAGGAACATTCCCAGAGGGATCCCCCCTCCCTTTTCCTGCAGAAAAAGGGAAGAGATAGTATTCCTGACCTCTTGGAGGCTTTGAAATGTAGGCTCACCTTTGAAATGCATGCTGTGCTGGGCTCTGGTGAGGAGGAGCTGATTGATTGACAGACAGGATTTGATGGTGATGACAACTGTTTGGTGGAAATAATTAGTGTCTTCAGCAGCAACAGTCAATCATGTGCCTTTGTTTAAACTCTGTCCCCAGAATTTGAAATGCATTTTCTAACACTTGCTAGAGGATGAAGAAAATGGAAAATGTTCTTATGTATTTCAAATGCTCCTTTTTTTGTCCAGATTTTCTTGATTCCTTTAAATTGTGAGTGTGTAGGATCTTTATATGATTACAATGTGTTATATCCTAGAAAATGGTCCTTTTATATATTCAGTCATCCCCTGCTGTAGAGGGGACATATGTGACAAAGCCATGCTGTATATCAGGACTCTGAACCTTGGGTCCTGACCCTGTCTCTGGTTTCCTGTGCAC